GATGATCAAATTTTCAAAGTTTTTTTATAACCAAATTCGATTTTTGAAAATTTTGAGAAATCCACGAAATTTTTAAAATAAAATTCGCGCATTTTTTTGGTTTATAAATAGAACAGGTTCACAATTGAAATAGAAAAAACCTAGTAAATATATACTTTGCTTGTCTGTCTGGGTGTTTATTTGTTTGTTTGTGTCCAATAAACGTCAAACCGGCTGAACCGATCGGGCCCAAATTTAGTGCAGGACCTCACATGATCCCAGGAAAGGTTTGTGGATGCTGAAAATTACAAAAATGTGTGTCCAAAGTTTTTGATTTTTGTAAGTTTTGTAAAATGCGCCACAAAATATTATTTAATCCGCGAACTTTTTTTCATTATTGTTTTTTATTGTACAAACTCAGTTGCCAAAAAACTATTATTTTTATTTATTTGTTGAGTAGAATAAAATGTTTTCAATTCCTAGATGGAACCGGATAAATTTTCTTTTTGCATACTTGTGCGTAAAATCAAACCTAGAGAAGCAACGACTTACGAGGTCACAAAGTCGTAGCAGTCGCATTTATTGGACCTTCACCTTCTGTCTAGTTAGTATAGTTTAAATTGCAACCCATCTACTTTGTTGTAAATAAACTATATTTGTAAAACTTGGCCTGGAATGAGGATCCCCCCCCCACATATAAAAATATATTTACCTACCTAACTATAGATTTGTCGGTCTCCCATTGTTTTTCATTCATTGCGGTGGAGGAGCTTGTGTCCATGAGATTATTGAGATATATGTCTTGAATATTGCAAATAAATATCAACTCAACAATCTACAGTGTTATAAAAGTTATCTGTTCAGGGCAATATTATCTTTTTATATTTATGTCAATTAAGCTGTTTATGTTCATCTCAATGTTAATTGTTCATGTTCACATCAATGTTCTCTGTTTCTGTTTATGTCAATTAAAATTGTGTTTGTTTATGTCAAATTTATCTGTTTATTTTCATGTCAATTAATCAGCTGTTCATGTTAATCTCAATTGTATCTGTTTCAGTTTATGTCTTTGTTATTTTGATAAATAGCTATGCCTCGTATACATTTTATTTAATAAAAAGTTATCAAAATATATTTTAAAAATTGTTAAAAAGTTTAATAAAACCACGATGATGTCCTTAGCGCTATTTCTTTCTCGTACTTCAGCAAGGATTGGTTTCAATATTAATATTATAAATTCTGTGCTGGGATCGAACATAACAAAATCTTTAGAAACAAATTACATTCAATTTTCAAGTTATATTTATTTTTTATGGTTTTTCGAAATTGGTTGTTTCATTCCTAACTATAAGTCGTTTATTAAGTAAAGTTTTATCAACACTGAATTATTAAATTTTTCTTCGTTAATTTTACATCAAAAGTTAAATTTTTCCGGCTGATCTTATGTGGGTAAACCTGAGTACTTCTACAGGGTTACCCACAAAGCACGAGACTTCACGAGACGACTGTACAGAATTTATAATTTATTTTTTTTGCCAGATAATTAATAAAAAGATTATATACAAGGCAGAAGACTTAATAATTTAATCTCGAAATCGTCAAATTTAAAGGAATTCAGGTCGTCTTTACAGTCTCATCCTTTGTGGGTAACCCTGTTTGTCAATCTGATTCCGCTTTATTTGTTTCTTACATTTAAAGAAACTCGTTAACTCTTATCCTACATTACAGTTGGCTTCTGACTATAATCTGGTAAATATTCTGTAAATACTGAACACGGAGTGACGGAACTATAATCTGGTAAATATTCTGTAAATACTGAACACGGAGTGACGGAACTATAATCTGGTTAATATTCTGTAAATACTGAACACGGAGTGACGGAACACAATAATAGCTAAAGCTTCAGTATTTGTTCTTTTTAAGTTATTTTCCTTTTAGCGAAATAAGATTGATTTTTAAAACAGACTTAAATAGAAAATCACTTTTTAAGTAGATATATGCATGAAAATATAAATTTACAAAACTAGACTTTCACGGCGACTCTATACCATTGCCAATTTTAGCTTGTTGTTACTGTAGCTTTGACAGTCGCCATTTTAAAATTTTTAAACATTTTCGAGGATATTTATTTTTATTAAATCAAGGTGTATTTTCAAAATTATTAAATGTCAATTTTGACCGTCCATAACCCTTCCCAGGGGTCATGCGAGTTGCCACAAAAATCATAGGCCCGATCGGGTAAGCCATACTGACGTGATTAGATCAAATAGACAGACAACAAGTATAAGTAGATACAGATCTTAAGCAGAAATCCATGAAATTGAAAGAAAAAAATTTATTCAAAATAATTTTATCCTTTATTACGTTATTCGACCTAGTTCTTGGATAAGATTGGTTTCCTTTCGATATTTGTATCCTGTACCCGGAGCTGAATGTGTTTTGTTCACACCCTGTATCTTACACATAGGTGTATCGTGTACCCGGAGCTACGGAAATGTCATAGATTCATCTCATCCAGGGGATGGGAAGAATATAATGTTTAAAGTCAGAGCTTCTAGTAACACTGGATTTTTCACTAGATTTTTATGATTTAATTAAAAATTATTGTTATTTACAAGCAGAAAACATTAAAACTAAACAAAATAACATATCAGTGAAGAAGATGTAATTTTTCATACTCTCTGTTCCCATCAATCTACGCTGTACTCTATCCCTCTCAAATTAATCTCTTTATCTAATAGAATAGCTCGTATACCTTACAGGTGCTTTTTTATTTACTATCCAACCTACTCTATATCTTACAGAGATATTCTAATATTTCCTATCTAACCTGCTCTATCCCTTACCTAGATACTTTGGAATTTCCTATCTAACCTGCTCTATCCCTTACCTAGATACTTTGGTATTTCCTATCCAACCTACTCTATATCTTACGGAGATATTTTAATATTTCCTATCCAACCTACTCTATAGGTATTTCCTATCAAACCTACTCTATATCTTACAGAGATATTTTAATATTTCCTATCTAACCTGCTCTATCCCTTACCTAGATACTAAGGTATTTACTATCCAACCTACTCTATATCTTACAGAGATATTCTAATATTTCCTATCTAACCTGCTCTATCCCTTACCTAGATACTAAGGTATTTACTATCCAACCTACTCTATATCTTACAGAGATATTTTAATATTTCCTATCCAACCTACTCTATCCCTTACCTAGATACTTTGGTATTTCCTATCCAACCTACTCTATATCTTACGGAGATATTTTAATATTTCCTATCCAACCTACTCTATCCCTTACCTAGATACTTTGGTATTTACTATCCAACCTACTCTATATCTTACAGAGATATTTTAATATTTCCTATCCAACCTACTCTATCCCTTACCTAGATACTTTAGTATTTCCTATCCAACCTACTCTATATCTTACGGAGATATTTTAATATTTCCTATCCAACCTACTCTATAGGTATTTCCTATCCAACCTACTCTATAGGTATTTCCTATCCAACCTACTCTACCCCTTACCTAGATACTTTAATATTTCCTATCCAACCTACTCTCTCCCTTACCTAGATACTTAGGTATTTCCTATCCAACCTACTTTATATCTTACGGAGATATTTTAATATTTCCTATCCAACCTACTCTATAGGTATTTCCTATCCAATCTACTCTACCCCTTACCTAGATACTTTAATATTTCCTATCCAACCTACTCTCTCCCTTACCTAGATACTTAGGTATTTTCTATCCAACCTACTTTATATCTTACGAAGATATTTTAATATTTCCTATCCAACCTACTCTATAGGTATTTCCTGTCCAATCTACTCTACCCCTTACCTAGATACTTTAATATTTACTATCCAACCTACTCTCTCCCTTACCTAGATACTTAGGCATTTCCTATCCAACCTACTTTATATCTTACGGAGATATTTTAATATTTCCTATCCAACCTACTCTTTCCCTTACTAAGAAACTTTGATATTTCCTATTCAACCTACTGTATTCCTTGATACTTTGGTATTTCCTATCCAACCTACTGTATTCTCGATATTTTGGTATTTCCTATCCAGCCTACTCTATTCCTTGATACTTAGGTATTTTTTATCCAACCTACTCTATCCCTTACCTAGATACTTTGATATTTCCTATCCAACCTACACTATTCTCGATATTTTGGTATTTCCTCTCCAACCTACTCTATTCCTTAAAAAAATATTTTGATATTTCCTATCCAACCTACTCAATACCTTGATACGTTGGTATTTTTTATCCAAACTACACTTTTCCTTGATACAATTTGGTATTTCCTATCCAACCTAATCTTTTCCTTAAAAAAATACTTTGGTTTTTCCTCTCCAACCTATTCTATTCCTTACCTAGATTCTTTGATATTTCCTCTCAAACCTACTCTATTCTCGATATTTTGGTATTTCCTCTCCAACCTACTCTTTTCCTTAAAAAAATACTTTGGTATTTCCTATCCAACCTACTCTATTCCTTAAAAAATACTTTGGTATTTCCTATCCAACCTACTCTATAACCTTAAAAAATACTTTGATATTTCCTATCCAACCTACTCTATTCCTTAAAAAAATACTTTGGTATTTCCTATCCAACCTACTCTAATCCTTAAAAAAATACTTTGGTATTTCCTATCCAACCTACTCTATTCCTTAAAAAATACTTTGATATTTCCTATCCAACCTACTCTATTCCTTACAAAGATACTTTGGTATTTCCTACTCAAGCATCTTAAATAGTTTAACCTTATTTGGTTATTTCCGGCCACAGCAAAATTCAATTCACTATAAATGCGACATTATTGCTATTAATTGATAGTTGTTGTAAATGTCACTGAAAATTAAGGGGGGGGGTATTGGAGGGAGGATACATTTACCTATTATGATAATAACGAACGATAGTTTGATAACGAACGATCGTTTAAACGTTTTAAGATATTTCAAGTTAGATATACGCGAGATAATTAACAGATATTTTTAACAGTGTTTACACATTCATTTATTTCACCTAAATCACAGATACTTGAGACAAAATCACATTCATCTTTTTATTTGTAATAATCCAACATAAAAATAAAACCCCGGTCACCAATGTTAAAATGAAAACAAGAAAGAAAAAACTTAGAAAGCAAACATTTGGACAAATTTTAAAGCTCTTAATTGACGTCACTTGCTCTGATTTTATGGACCTAGTTCTGAAACTGAAAAATTATTTACCCTATTCATGAAACCAGGCTTAAAATGTCCGGTTTTATTCCGTTACCCTTGTCTTAAGTTTCAGACTCTCGCCATTTTTGCCTACACTACGCTTTGTATACGCTATACGCCCTTGAATGGGTGAATTTACATAATAAAGTTTATGCTAGTTGATTAATAACGGTGTTCCAATACTAGTTGTCTAGACCTACTAAACCCTGTAGTAAGAATTAGTCGGGAAAACTGGTAGTCTAGCGGTCTACTTGAGAAATAAAACCTGAAAAGTAGGTTTTCTAACAGGGATCGAAGACTACCCCGCAATTGTATTGGTGCAATTTTATATGTATCAAGGATCCCGGAGATACGTTCTAACCGGAGCTAGCTTAACCTTGGTTTTTCGTTGGAAATTCCAGCTTGGTTTAACCGAAACCCGGAGCAAGATTAAACTCGTGGTTTCAACTCCTAGATCAAATAATCAGGAACTTGATAATTTGAAGAGTTTAAGCAGAAACATCCAGATTTATGGTCAATACCGCTCGTATACTACCTAGATACTTTGGTATTTCCTATCCAACCTACTCTATATCTTACGGAGATATTTTAATATTTCCTATCCAACCTAATTGTTCATGTTCACATCAATGTTCTCTGTTTCTGTTTATGTCAATTAAAATTGTGTTTGTTTATGTCAAATTTATCTGTTTATTTTCATGTCAATTAATCAGCTGTTCATGTTAATCTCAATTGTATCTGNGTAGGACAAACAATGCAAATTAAAGAAAGTTGAATCGAAAAAAGTTGAATTTGTGACTTATAATACTTTTATGATTGATCCCTAACCACGTGATTCAAATTAAAAATACAAGATTATAAAATTTAAAAAAACTTTGGAACTTTAATCCTTCTTTTCTCTTTTATCTTCATCTTTCTCCTCCTTCTCCTCGTCATCTTCCTCCTGGTCACCATTCTCCTCCTCCCTCTCCCCCTCCTTGGAGCTCCCGGAACCCAGGATAGATTTCCAAGGAATATTTGAGACAACAACTGCGAGGAAAAAGAGTGCTACAGCAGCTGTCGCCACTGTAACAGCGATGTCCATAATATGCGTTGGACCGGACTTTAAACGCGCCATGGTTGCCGCGGTCCATTCACTGAACTTTCCGCGGTTAAAGTTGTTATCGTTACAGAGGTCCGTATTACAAAAACAAGTTAGAACCTCCATTCCTCCTTCATCTCCTCCAGCCCACTCCTCAGTACACCAGGGCCATCCAGATCCACTCCTAGACAATACAGGGAGTTAAAGGGACTGGTTCCGCCAGTTCGAGTGACCCTCCATTTATAAAGTAGCATGTCCGATACACAAAGATACCCTTGTACCCTCTATCTGAGTAACAATGAGGAAGAAATAGTTGTTTTTTTTTCTCGAAAAAATGTTGACTTTTATTAATTTCATTCATGTCTCTGAAGTCAAGTCACTTACATAGAGAAACCACAATTGCAAATAATCAATTTTTAGTTGTAGGGATATTGATATCTTGTTCATCCATGATCAGTCAAAGGTTTAAAGGACACCGTTGTGCATCTTACTTGCCAGTCTATAAATTAAATATAGAGTCCCTTTAAACGCGAAATGAAATGAATGAAGTCGTTCCGAAGTCATAAATATAAAAATATTAATTTATAAAAATATAAAGCTATTGATGTTACACCCTTGATTTTGGTTGCATTATAATCAAATTGAATATTTTTTTTAAATTCATTTTCTCCTTGTAAGTTGTAAAGTTTTATCTGTAACTATCTGATGTGCCCGGCGTTGCCCGTAGAATTGAAAATATTGCATTTTGGAATAAAAAATATTAAAATTTTTAAGAAAATTTTTGAAATTCTTTAAATTTTTCTATACTATGTTCCCCCAGGGTATCCAGTAGCTTCCTCAAAAAAAATTCAGCGACTTTGGTTCAGGCGTTTGGCCAACGATTGCCAACATATAAATATATGCATTAATAAACTAAGAGCTTTTAATATATTGATAGAATAAAGATGTTATTGGATTACCGCCAGCTATGTAATTTTGTTCTCGTGTTTTCCAAATTATTAAAAATATTTTGCTAATGAATTTAATAAATCAATACTTGTTATTAATGTTCCTCTGTTCCGACGGAAAATTGAATTCTGAAAATATTGGCAAAATCATTTATTTCTTCATCAGTTAATTCTGCATCAATGTGGGAATGTTGCACTCTCGAGCACGCGGCCTGGGGGTGTGCAGAAAGTACGCAAATAAAGAGATATTAGTCGCAGCGAAAAAAATATTTTTCCCACATTTTTCTCAACTTTAATTGGATGATGTAAAAAAAGTCTAGACTTGTTTTTCACCTTTCATAAAGTTGCCTAAATGAGACTTAACCATTTTTTAATTTTTTTAAAATTAGAAAATTGAATTTTTTACAATTTTTAAAGCTTTATAGAGATTTTGAAAAAATCCGTATTTTATTTAAAGATAAATTAAAGTGAAACTATATTTTACGAGTTTCACAATTTTGAAACATATACTTCAATTAAATCATTCGTTTCAAACTCACAAAAAAAGATATTTATACTTAGTTAACATTTTTGTATTTTTTTTTCCAGTGAGTGGCACAATTCGCGAAAAGAGGGTTAAGAATTTATTTGTAAAACCAAACTATTAACTGAAAAATAGAGCCTTTTTTCTTGGAAAACCGTTCCTTTGTTAAAGTATACTGAATAACTGAAAAATATATAATAATAATAACCTGCAAAACCAACATTTGTTATACATTTTTCATTTGTAAAATTTTTTTTTCTATTTTACCCACAAATATTTTAAGTTTTTAAAATATTAGAATGAAAAAAATATAAACCCACTGGTTTAAGTTTATAATCATGTACTTACGATCTGTCTGGTGTTCGAGCAACACACTGTCTAGCCATTGCTTTCCGTAGCTCTCCTTCCTCACGGAATATTATCCTGCATAAACCATAAATCTCATGGTGTATAGTTTAGTAGGACAGGACACCTATCTCAGGGTGTATAGTTTATTTAATAGGACAGGACGCTTATCTCACGGTGTATAGTTTAGTAGGACAGGACACCTATCTCAGGGTGTATAGTTTAGTAGGACAGGACGCCTATCTCAGGGTGTATAGTTTAGTAGGACAGGACGCTTATCGTAGGGTGAATAGCTTAGTAGGACAGGACGCCTATCTCAGGGTGTACATTTTAGTAGGACAGGACGCTTATCTCAGTGTGTATAGTTTAGTAAGACATGACGCCTATCTCAGGGTGTATAGTTTAGTAGGACATGACGCCTATCTCAGGGTGTATAGTTTAGCATAACAGAACTTTTATCTGAGGATGTATAGCTTAGTAGGGCAGGACGCCTATCACGTGTATATTTTAGTAGGACAGGACGCTTGTCTCAGGGTGTATAGTTTAGTAGGACAGGACGCTTATCTCAGGGTGTATAGCTTAGTAGGACAGGACGCTTATCGTAGGGTGTATAGCTTAGTAGGACAGGACGCCTATCTCAGGGTGTATAGTTTAGCAGAAAATGAATTATATCTCAGGATATATAGTTTAGCAGGAAAGGACTTATATCTCAGGGTGTATAGCTTAGCAGTAGAACAAGACTTATATCTTAGGGTATATGGTTTAGTAGAACAGGCCGCTTATATATATCAGAGTATATAGTTTAGTAGGAGGGAACTCTTAGATTATTATATTGATAAGTAGTTAGTCATGAAAAATCATTTAAAAGTAAGAAATTTAATCTTATGAAAAATAAAAACATTCAGCAATCTACAATCTACATTCTAGAAGTCAGAAATTGTATTAGATATATTTGAGAGGTTGTGTGATTACGGCTTAGGTAAAATACACAATACCGTGTAATTTTAAGAATCTTCGAATTTGAATTTGATCATTTAACCTACTGGTGGTAATAATGATTTAAAAACGAGATGGTTTTCAAGTTTTGTCAGAATTGCGTGGAAAGAAATAATGTATGAATGAATGCATAACTAAATGTCAGGATGAAATATCGATTGCAATCATGGATTACTGATGAATTCAAGAAAAGATGGATGAATGAATAGAAGGATGAATGGATTCAAGAAAACAAGGAAGGATGAATAGACGAATGAATGGATTCAAGAAAAGATGGATGAATGAATAGAAAGATGAATTGATTCAAGAAAAGATGGATGAATGAACGGAAGGAAGGATGGATTCAAGAAAAGATGGATGAATGAATAGACGAATGAATGGATTCAAGAAAAGATGGATGAATGAATAGAAGGACTTGATTCAAGAAAAGATGGATGAATGAATAGACGAATGAATGGATTCAAGAAAAGATGGATGAATGAATAGACGAATGAATGAGTTCAAGAAAAGAAGAATGGATAAAAGAATAGATGAATGGCTTTATTTGGATTAAAAAATGAATTCAAGAAAGCATGGATGAATGAAGAGAAAGATTGAACAAAAAGATGAATGGATAGTATGGTTCCCTAGCAGATGAGCAGGCCATGTCCCCGTCACATCTCTCAATACCTCCGGCAGAATTAGGACCAGAGTGGTCGGAGTAACATCGTATACTGGATACACCTAAACCAAAGATTTATATCTGAGTATCCTGAATATTGTAAATTGGTAAACTATATATGACTAGTTGAACTAAATCTCTAGATTACTGTTGGTAGACTTGAGAAGCAGTTCAAATACTTACGCTTTTCAGGCCTCAGAAAGCATAATCAATAAATTGTTTTAAAAATATTTAAATTTAGTTTGTTGAAAATTTCTCTTCTTACAGATATATTTAGATCCCAAAATATTCAGAGTTTACCAACATGTTTGTGGATTTTCATGGATATTTATGAATTACCAGGATATTCATGGATTACCCGGATATTCATGGATTACCCGGATATTCATGGATTAGCAGGATATTCATGGATTACCAAGATATTCATGGATTACCATAATATTCATGGATTAGCAATATATACATGGAATACCAGGATATTCATGGATTAGCAATATATACATGGATTACCAGGATATTCATGGATTACCAGGATATTCATGGATTACCAGGATATTCATGGATTACCAGGATATTCATGGATTACCAGGATATTCATGGATTACCAGGATATTCATGGATTACCAGGATATTCATGGATTACCAGGATATTCATGGATTACCAGGATATTCATGGATTACCAGGATATTCATGGATTATCAGGATATTTATCTATTTCTTGAATATTCCTTGAAGACTATGGTTTTCCCAAGGACCAGGTTTAAGATGTAAAATGATAATTCAAGTCTGTTACCGAGTACGGAAGTGGTGGGGAACAATATATAGTTAGCTTAGAAAACCATAATAATTAACTTAGAATTAGAATAAATAATAAATATTTCTAATATTTTCATCTGTTTCATTTTTTAAACCATAAACATGTTGAAGACAATTTCAGTATTGAGAGTGGGAGGAAAACGTTTTTGATGACCTGCAAGCACACCCCATTTTGTTCTTTATCGCCCNTTGGATAAACAGATTTAGGATTAAGGTTGGGCATAATATAGATTAAGGATTTAGGTCAGTAAAACAGATTTAGGATTAGGGATATAAAAACAGATTTAGGATTTAGGAAATAAAAACAAATTCAGGATTAAAGGCATAGAACAGATTTAAGATTTAAGATATAAAAACAGATTTAGAATTAAGGTCATAGAAACAGATTTCGGATTAAGGTCAAAAACAGATTGCAGATTAAGGACATAAAAACAGATTTAGGATTAAGGGCATAAAAACAGATTTAGGATTAAAGGCATAAAAACAGATTTAGGATTAAAATCATTGAAACAGATTTGGGATTAAGGTAATAAAAAAGATTTAGAATTAAGGGCAAAGAACAGATTTAGTATTCAGGGCATAAAAATAGATTTAGGATTAAGGTCAGTGAAACGGATTTAGGATTAAGGATATAATACAGATTTAGGATTAGGGATAAAAAACAAATTTAGGGTCAAGGTAAGTAAAACAGATTTGGGATTAAGGACGTAATAACAGATTTAGGATTAAAGTCATAATAACAGATTTAGGATTCAGGTCAAAGAAACAGATTTAGGATTAAGGGCATAAAAACAGAATTATAATTAAGGCCAAAGAAACAGATTTAGAATTACGATCATAGAAACAGATTTGGGATTAAGGTCATAAAAAAAAGATTTAAGATTAAGGACATAAAAACAGATTTAGGATTAAGGTCATAGAAACAGATTTAGGATTAAGGTCATAAAAACATATTTAGGATTAAGGGCATACAAATAAATTTAGGATTAAGGGCAAAAAAACAAATTTAGTATTAAGGTGATAAAAAAAGATTTGAGATTAAGGACATAAAAACAGATTTAGGACTAAGGATATAAAAACAGATTTAAGATTAAGAGCATATAAATAAATTTAGGATTAAGGGCATAAAAACAAATTTGGGATTAAGGTCATAAAAACCGAGTTAGGATTTAGGATATAAAAACAGATTTAGGATTAAGGGCATACAAATAAATTTAGGATTAAGGGCATAGAAACAGATTAAAGATAAAGGTCATAATAACGGATTTAGGATCAAGGATATAAAAAACAGATTTAGGATTAAGGGCATAAAAAATAAATTTAAGATTAAGGGCATAAAAACAGATTTAAGATTAAGGGCATAAAAACAGATTTAGGATTAAGTACATAAAAATAGCTTTAGGATTAAGGGCATAAAATAAAATCAGATTTAGGATTAAGGGCATAAAAACAGATTTAGGATTAAGGGTATAAAACAGATTTAGGATTAAGGGTATAAAAACAAATTTAGGCTTAAAGCCATAAAAACAGATTTAGGATTAAGGTCATAATAACGGATTTAGGATCAAGGATATAAAAACAGATTTAAGATTAAGGGCATACAAATAAATTTAGGATTAAAGCCAAAGAAACAGATTTAAAATCAAGATCATAGAAACAGATTTGGAATTAAGGTCATAAAAAAAGAATTAGAATTAAGAACATAAAAGCAGATTTAGGATTAAGAATTAAAAACAGATTTAGGATTAAATCCCTAGAAACAGATTTAGGATTACGGATATAAAAACAGATTTAGGATTAAGGGCATACCAATAGATTTAGGATTAAAAGAATAGAAACAGATTTAGTCATAATAACAGGTTTAATATTAATGATATAAAACAGATGCAGGATTAAGGGCATAAAACAGATTTAGAATTTAAGTCATAGAAACAGATTTATGATTTAGGTCATAATAACAGATTTAGGATTAAAGTAATAAAATCAGATTTAGGATTAAGGACTTAAAAACAGATTTAGGATTAAGGGCATACAAAAAAGATTTAGGATTAAGACCATAAAAACAGATTTAGGATTGAAGTCATAATAACAGATTTAGGATTCAGGTCATAGAAACAGATTTAGGATTAAGGGCATAAAAACAAATTTAAGATTAAGGGCATAAAACAGATTTAGAATTAAAGTTATAGAAACAGATTTATGATTAGGTCATAATAACAGATTTAGAATTAAAGCCATAGAAACAGATTTATGATTAAGGTCATAGTAACAGATTTAGGATTAAGGTCATAAAAATAGATTTAGGATTAAAGCTTTAAAAACAGACTTATAATTAAGGTCATAGAAACAGATTTAGGATCAAGGTCATAAAAACAGATTTAAGATTAAGGACATAAAAACAGATTTAGGATTAAGAACAAAAAACAGATTTAGGATAAAGGGCAACAAAAAAATTTAAGATTAAGGGCATAGAAACAGATTTAGGATTAAGGTCATAAAAAAGATTTAGGATTAAGGACATAAAAACAGATTTAGGATTAAGGTTATAAAAAACAAATTTAGGATTAAAGCCATAGAAACAGATTTAGAATTAAGGTCATAGAAACAGATTTAGGATTAAGGATATAAAAACAGATTTAGGATTAAGAGCCAAAAAAACATTTAGGATTAAGGGCATAGAAACAGATTCATGATTAAGGACATAAGAACTGATTTAGGATTAAGGGCATAAAAACAGATTTAAAATTAAGGACATAAAAATAGATTAAGGATTACGGTCATAGAAAATGGAGTTAGGATGAAGGTTGGATAAATAGATTTAGAATAAGATTATAGAAAACAGAGCTAGGATTAAGACGATAGAGAACAGATTTAGGATTAAAGGCATAAAAAAGGATTTAGGATTAAGAACATAAAAATAGATTTAGGATTAAGGTCATAGAAAACGGAGTCAGGATTAAGGTCAGGGAAAAAAATTAGGATGAAGGTTGGATAAACAGATTTAGAATAAGATTGTAGAAAACAGAGCTAGGATAAACTTGATAGAAAACAGATTAAGGATTAAAGTTGAATAAACTAAGATTAAAGAAAACAGATTTAGGATTTAAGTTGAATAAACAGATTTAGGACTTAGATTATAGAAAACAGATCTAGGTATAAGATTATAGAAATCAGAATTAGTATTAAGATTATAGAAAAACAGCTAGTTGCGTTTAAGGTTAAATAAACAGATTTAGGAGTAAGGTTGGATAAACAGATTTAGGATTAAGGTTGGATAAACAGATTTAGGATTAAGGTTGGATAATCAGATTTAGGATTAAGGTTGGATAAACAGATTTAGGATTAAGGACCTCCCTAACAAATTAATTATTTTTGATGGTGTAGTTTTCGACCTACGCAAATCCGCTATACTCCACTTCTGACCGACGCCAAATCCGCTATACTAAACATCTGACCTATATTAGCAGTGGTTTTACAGCTGCTATATAGACTTGTGGCCGCAGCGCTCGGCCCCCTAGCTATACGTCCTAGCCGTTGCAGCGCTCGGCCCAGAATATGGTCTTAACCTAACCCTTTTAAGTAGTACAAAAATAAACAGCTGGCGTAGTTCCGATATTGCAATTAAGGTCGGAAAGTTGGTCAAAAGTTCATGCAGTAGGGAGATGTTGCGTATAGACGATGATAACATCACCTTATTTTTTATAATTTTAAAAGGATAAAACTAAAAAGACCCAAAACTGTAAAAATATGACAATTTGAAGCTTGGTTTTTGGTTTATGAATTCAATTGAATATTTTGATGGATTACATTTTAATGATTAAAGCTATTCAATCGTCTTTCAATTTCAACACTTTGGATGCTTTGACCGTGAGAAAGGGGGCACCCCCCCCCTTTCTCCAAAAAGGAGACCAACAATTAACTACCCCCCCCCCCCCCCCCTCAGCAGTTCATTGACAATTACCACCCTTCCTCATGGGTAAAATATCAGGGAGATGTGTCCCCCCCCCCCCAAATTTTTTTTTTCAATTCTTTTCATTTTCCTTAGTCTTATCCACCCCTTTCTCTCTGTAAAATTGAAAATTAAACACTTTATTTACTGCCATAAATGCATTTGCTCATCAAAGGAAGAGGGGAATCTTTTGGTTCTTTTAATTAGTTTTTTGTTAGATTTTCAACGACTGAGTTAGAATTTTTTCTGATTGCTACTTATCTCCAGGTTAGAGCAACTCAGTTGATCATCTTTTCTCCAGGTTAGAGAAGCTAAGTTGGTCAACTTATCTTCAGGTTAGAGAAGCTCAATTGATCAACTTATCTCCAGGTTAGAGAAGCTCAATTGGTCAACTTATCTTCAGGTTAGAGAAGCTAAGTTGATCAACTTATCTCCAGGTTAGAGAAGCTCAATTGATCAACATATCTCCAGGTTAGAGAAGCTTAATTGATCAACTTATCTCCAGGTTAGAGAAGCTCTATTGATCAACTTATCTCCAGGTTAGAGAAGCTCAATTGATTAACATATCTCTTGGTTAGAGCAGCTCAATTGATCAACTTATCTCCAGGTTAGAGAGCTCAATTGGTTAGCATGTCTCCACGTTAGAGAAGCTCAATTGATCAACTTATCTCCAGGTTAGAGAAGCTCAATTGATCAACATATCTCCAGGTTACAGAACTCATTTGATCACCTTATCTCCAGGTTAGAGAAGCTCAGTTGATCAATTTATCTCCAGGTTAGAGAAGCTCAATTGATCAACATATCTCCAGGTTAGAGAAGCTTAGTTGATCATCTTATCTTCAGAAAATATTTTCTTTCTATTATATTTTTGCCTGCGCACTGTAAAAAAGCAAACTGAGTAACATTAAGTTTTTTTTCTAAGCAGTCTAAACTAGCTAAGAAAGATTCCTATAAATATTCCTCTGTAAAAATTTCCTTTACTTGCCTTGTCTTAAATCCTCCCTCTTGCACAAGTTTCAGAAATTTTAAAACTTGCTTGTTTATGCTATAAAGAAAAGAAAGGAATTTGGTAGAAAACAAAATGTAAGGTTTGGAGGTTAACATTCAGAAAGTATTTGTGGGGTTCGGTATTCGGGGTTCGGATCGCGACCGTTTGGTTTTTATATCTGTGCTTTTAATGAAAATCTGTTTTATTTAATATATTGCAGGTGCATTTGCATACTTTCTACTGTCTGTTTGTCAAACTTTGTTAATACCCGTTGCATGTTTTAATAAAACTAGCTTTAACCTTCACCCAATTGTAAGTTATGTATTCTGTAAAATACCAGAAGCGCAACTAGCTCTTTCAAGGTGAGGGGGGGGGGGCAGCCACTGGACTCTGGAGGTTAAAAAACCCAAAATTTAAATCGTAAATACGAAAAGCTAAACCTGACAGGTGAGAATAAAATTACTGTAGCAAAATTTTAAGGTTTAATTATTGAAATTATATGCATATTGAGAACAAATACATGTTAACCATTTAGAGAGTATTTTTCATAATTAGCTAACACCCCTTACATATATTTGCATTTAGCATGCATTATTCCATGAACATTGTATGTATTAACTCTTCTAGGACTCCGGTTAATGTGTTTCATAAATTTCATGGTCTGAATATTGAATTTCAAACTATGAATTATGTTAGTTAAAAAAATCTAAGTTTGAAATATCAAAGGTTTACACAATCATGCTGCAAAGGTATAAGGGTTGGAAAATTTGATTTTGTGGCAAGGGCTCAATTTCTTTCCTTTATTTACTTTAATATTCAACAATTGATTAAATTAAATAGAAATAGAATACAACAAATATATATGCACATTTATAAAGAGGTGAAATTGTCTAAAGTAAGGTTTATCTTTGAAACAACCTAGCTGCAATTTTGCACTTCTTTCTTGACATGGAAAAATTGTAGTGGATTTTTTCTTAACAAATTCTAAATATTAAGATATAATTCTAAATATTAAGATATAATTCTAAATATTAAGATATAATTCCAAATATTAAGATATAATTCATAAATATTAAGATATAATTCTAAATATTAAGATATAATTATAAATATTAAGATATAATTCTAAAAAAACTCTTCCCCTTACAAAATTCCCAATTGCACCTCTATGCATCTTACATATTCTTTTGGCCTCATGACGTAAATATACCGATATTATAAGTTTGTGTTCTTTTTGATGAATATACGTCATTTTATTCTATAAATTCAATAATCTCTTATATATTATAGTGCAACTTATTTGACGCTATACTTTAAGTTTATTTTATAGTTTAAGTCAATAGTCAGACTGAAGATTTTATTCAATTTTGATGGAATTTATCCCACCCAATATTTCCCGTTGCAGGGTAATTAAGTGATTTTATTGCCCTACAACAGGGCGAAAAAGTAACTTTTTCATCCTACTATCAAAATTTCAAATTTCATACCTAATTTGTCTCATTGTAGGGTGATAAAGTTACTTAATCACCCTATAAAAGGGTGATTAAGTAACTTTATCGACCTGGTTTTAAATAATTTGAGTAAAACTGAATAAAACTATATATGTTATAGAAATGGGTATCATGCGTGAAAAAAAGTTTTTGCTGTGATTTTTAATTTTTTCGATCACAATAAAAGTATTATCTATTTGATCCTAAACAAACTAGAAAAAATAAAAACCCCGGCAAAAACTTTTTCGCACTCAATAATACCCATTACAATGACATAAATAAATATAATTGTTTGAAATCCAATCGGATCAATCTAATTAAGAGTGTTATGTCTTCTATACTTAACACAAAGAAAACTAAAATCAATAAGCAAAAAGTACAAGACTTAAATGTTTAGTTAAAGGGCAATATGTACTTACTAAAGGACCAGATGCTTTTGTTTTTCCCTTTTGTTCATTAGATTCAATCTGATACTGTTAGTTGACAATTTAGTTTGAGAAACTCCACAACTGAAACTATCGAAATCCGCAAAAGGAATGTATCTAGTGTACTCTATACACAATTACAGTCTAGAGAGAAGACAGGAGTAAACAACGTTTCCTTCTCCAGGACAGGAAAAAATTCAAAACTATTACAGGTAAAACTTGAGTTTAACTGATTAGGACACGTATTAACGACGAATTATCAAACGGGGTCAAAAGATATGTCTAAGGATGGGCGGGGGTCCGCAGCAGCAGAAAGTATGAACAGCGGACTCTGAGAAAATAGAATCCGGAGGAGGGAGGAGGAGGGTTTATATTCTGCTTCCAGTCACGAGTAATTCTTCTCCGTTGAAGTAAGGTTCAAACCGTGTAGGAGATATCTCTTTCATTTTGTGAACTGTGAACACACTCAAGTGTACATCATGTGTTCTCATTTATAGACAAATCTTTACACGGTGTTCTCACAAAACCTTTTTATATTTATTGTGTTGAAAATGTTTTAGTCCAGATAATATAAAATAACACAGAATTGGTATTCCCTTGCATAATCAGCTGACGTAATATACTAATCACATGTGTTTGTACTTTGTAGTTGTATAGTATATATATATTGAATATCCAGCATGATAAATCCAACCTTGAACACTCAGTGTTTTCCCTTGAAATAGTTTCAATAGTTTGCATGATTAGAATACTTGAATATTATTCTGCTGCAGAGGAAACTTGAACCAGCTGCAACAACATAAATACGTTCCGGGTTTCAGACATTTTTAAACATTTCTTAATAAACTAAATTAAAAGATTATATTAATTATAATTCTTCTGATAACTGTTAAATCTAGATTAAACTAGATAATATTAAATACAGCACAGATTTCGTTACAGGCATCATACTTTTAGTTGTGAAACGACAGCCAAAGAACGAAGAATAGCTAGAACAAGCTTAGTTTTAGATCAGAAATGTTTTAAGGTTCTTTTCTTCTCAAGAAATAAAATTTACATTCCTTGATCTATTTTACCTAGATCCTAAGAATTCTTAAAGAGAAAGCCCGCGGGCTTTCTCTGTGTTTAATTCCCAGATTTGATATTATACTTAGTTACACAAGAGAATATTACCAAATGTTCAAAAACTAGAAAATGTTAGAATTGATCAGTAACCCTGCAGCATGCTTATGTAAGACGTCAATACTAAGCAAGAAATAGATTTTTCATTGAAAAAATAACTTAATGTCATTTACATGATTAAGAAAATTTGTCAATGCATCTTCTAATTTTAACTGCAAAACAATCTTGATCTAAGTGAGTGTTCGCTAAACTGAAAAAAGTAGATTTTTTATATTCCATATCTAAGAGATTATGAAATAAACCTTTTTCCCCCGGATCACAACATCCGGAGGGAAACAAAAGTATTATCAACATGAATTTATAATTTAGTTTCAGCTGTCAATAAGTTTTACAAACAGTTCTTTATTTTATAAAGAAACCAACTCATATGTGTAAAGGAATTGAGTTTTTGACACAAACTCTAATCTTCTAATTCCTACGTTGTACGACATCGGATTACAGAGATATAGGGATTAAAAAATCCGAGTTTGTGGCAAAATCTCATTTTCTTTAATATTTCAGGGACCCGCTGAAGATAGGAAAAATGCGGGTTGGAATGAAGAGTATCCTGGAACGAGGGAGATCACGAGGACGGGTTTCTCTCCCTCAGGTTGGAGTTAGTCTCCAACACTCAGCTACAGCAGGGATGTCAACTCAGACCAGGAAGAAGGAAATATCGTTCGATGATGCCAAGTAAGATTTAAAATACAGTTCTATCTATATTGTTTTGAATAAATTAAGAAAAAGTACTCACAATACCCCCATTAAAAACATATTATAACCAATATGACCCCTTTAAAATGTCTCTAAGAGTTTCTAGTTATTATTTTGACGGACAGTATCGATCATTTTTGAAAATCTTTAATCTTTAATCTTATTTGTGCAGTTTCTCATGTGAACACACTGGAACGTTTACCCTCATCATGCATCATTTGCCAAAATACCAAACTTAAAGGATAAATTGGGGTTATAAAACGTAAATTAAATGAAAAAAATATTTTCAAAAAATTATGTGTTTGGATAATTGATCAATTGCGGCGTTTAAAATTTGTTTAGGAATATGAGAATATTCTCAAATCTATATATAAATTTGGCTTTTTGGCTTGTCTGGGTGTCTGTGTGTTTTTTTGTATCCAATAAACGTCAAAACGGCTGAACCGATAGGTCCCAAATTTTTTTAGGGACATCACGTGACCATAGGGAAAGTTTATGAATGATAAAAATTTTAAAAAATGTGTTTTAAAGGTTTTTAATTTTGTAAAAAAAACTTTTTTTTAAACCGCAAAATTTTTTTCTTCTTTGTTTTAAAATGTAAACAAAAAGAACATGTTCACAATTTAAATAGAAGATGTANTGTCTGGGTTAAAAATGCTTATTTTTCGGGGTAAAAATACTTATTTGTCGGGGTTAAAATGCTTATTTGTCGGGGTTAAAAATACTTATTTGTCGGGGTTAAAAATACTTATTTGTCGGGGTTAAAAACACTTATTTGTCGGGGTTAAAATGCTTATTTGTCGGGGTTAAAAATACTGATTTGTCGGGGTTAAGAATGCTTATTTGTCGGGGTTAAAAATGCTTATTTTTCGGGATAAAAATACTTATTTGTCGGGGTTAAAATGATTATTTGTCGGGGTTAAAAATACTTATTTGTCGGGGTTAAGAATGCTTATTTGTCGGGGTTAAAAATGCTTATTTGTCGGGGTTAAAAATGCTTATTTGTCGGGGTAAAAATACTTATTTGTCGGGGTTAAATTGCTTATTTGCCGGGGTTAAAAATACTTATTTGTCGGGGCTAGAAATGCTTATTTGTCGGGGTTTAAAATACTTATTCCTTCTTTTAAGTTCCAAATATAAAAACTGGGAGAAAAATGCATTCTCTGAGCTCTAAGGCTGGCCAGAATAATTTTTAAAAAATCGTTACAAATTCTTAAATTATTTCTAAAAATTTTAATCCTGCAATGCAAGCTTTTCATCATGACAGTAATGGGGGTTATAAGGTTAATTTCGGGTTAAGTTAGAAATTATAGAATTTATTTTGTAAATAAATAATGATTTTATAACTGCGATAAAAAATTAATGAATAATGATTTTATAACTCCGATAAAAAATTGTCGATGACAAAAAGTTTTAATGTAGAAAATAATGATTTCTTTTAATTTTAAAATAAACAAATTGAAATATCAGACTTTCTACGGACACTTTGTAGCAGGAGAGGATCAAGAGAAGATTAAACCGCTCATCTCCAGGATGCAATCCTTCGGAGTGAAATCCATCCTGGACTACAGTGTTGAGGAGGACCTGGCTAATGAGAAGGAGGAACAAGTTACTCCTAGGAAAAAGGTTTGCTTTAGATCTTAAGAGTAGGAGAGGTTTGGTGGGTAGGATTAGGAATAGGTATCTTATTTTTTTGTTTTTTATTTTTAACCGTTTAGGGTTTTTATCGGTGGATCCACGGATATTAAAACCCATTATTCACTTGCTTCATATTAAACATTCCTATATTTAGCAAAATTTTTACTTTGGCAGAAAATATAGAAATCAATCTAATTTCCAGTAACCCTCCATTTTTAGAGTGGCGTGTTCGATTCACAACAGTGTCCATTAACCCTAGGATGATATTTCTCTACAGCAGTACCCTTGTAATTGTTGATAACTTTGTGTTCAAGTTGTTTTACATTTTAGAAATATTAATATTTAGATTCTTCAAGTTGCAGAAATTAGATATTTACATTAGAATTTTTAAAAACTGCTTTATTCGGGATGTTCGAGGATTATAAGTAACGTCAGATGCGTTGGGCTCACAATATACACCAGCGTACACTCCAGTTTTTCCAGTTCTAGGCCCACGTTTATCAGTCAAAGAATATATATTAGACTGGAATTTAAACAATCCCTCGGTATGAATTTTTTCAGGGAGTTCAAAGTGTACAAATCATGTAAATGTTCACAAATTATATGCAGTAGAGTACAATAATACAGTATACAATACAGACTATCCATTTCAATTTCGAATTTTTTAATGCTTTAAAATAAACTTTATAAAATGAATTAGGTCAATAAAAAACATCATTTGATTTATAGTTATAACGGAAAATCATCGTTCGTAAAGTGAAAGGCATAGAGTCTATGTGAAATGATCATTGGTCAATTATGAAACCAGCCTATTTCATAATTTGGTTTTCTTTTAACAATAATTTTAAAATATTAAGTTTATGACCGTCCTCAATTTTGGTGTAAAAAAAGTTGGACCATATTTTAATATCTCGAATATTTCTAAAATATTGGGTTTCCCTCTTTGATTACCTGCAGGCTACAACTATAGGAATATTTTTTTAATGAAAAAAATTATTAGATTGACTTCTTTCCACGTGTGCATGACAGATTATCAAAAAATTTATTTAGAGAAAATCAAATAAGTTTCAAGAAAACTTTCAAACTTTCCTATAAAATGATACTCCAGGGCCCAAAAGGTTATATACCTGCAGTATGGAAACAGTACAACAAAATGGCCGTTTTACACTTTTTTCTAGTAAATTCCACTCTAATATATATTCTATTATCTTTGGTTTCAGGGGTAACGTTGTAAATCGGACATTCCCACCCTTGCATGGAGTGTAACTTGAAATTATGTTTACAGCCCCAAGTATTTTTCTAGTTTTGTTAACAATGAATGTATTCTAGGCTACAGAGATAGTTGATGGGTCCAAGCAATTAGCTCAATATACTCCTGTAGATGAATCAGAACATAAAGAAGTTGACCGCAAACATAAACTAAACTCAGCCAGAGTGTATTTCTACCAGGTAACAGTCTTATCTTATCTGATATTATCTTATCTTATTTTATTTTATTTGATCTTTTCCTATATCTGGTCTGATCTTATCCTACTTTTTTATCTTATCTTTTCTAAGGATCATTCCTTATCTTATCTTACTCTTCCTTATCTTATAATATCATATCTTTTATTCTAACTCATATTTTATATTATTATAAATAATCTCATCTAAACTCATTCTTTTCTATCTTATTCATTCTTATCAATTATTATCTGATCTTGTATAAAATCATCTTATCTTATGCTTTCTTTTTTAATATTTTCCTATGTTAAAATCTTATATTATGTTAACTAGGGTGAGGCTAACTGTGACCGGAATATGGCAACCTTTATAGATTGTATAGATGCAGTTAAAGGATCAACTGGTGGAACAGGATTCTCTGCTATTAAGCTGACAGCTCTAGGGAGACCAGAGATCCTGGTAGGTTTAGTCATCAAACAATCTTTTCAGAACAATATTGTTTTAAACTAGAGAGGTGGGATTTTTTAAATAAGACGATGTTGAGCTGCTACAGTTATACTTGCTCGAAGCACCTGCGTTTCTAGAAATTATGTTTCTAGCAGTTTGTTTAATTGTGGCAATCTTGTCTTTAGCTATCATGTTTCTAACATTCATGTTTCTAGCATTCATGTTTCCAGCATTCATGTTTCTAGCAATCATATTTATAGTAATCATGTTTCTAGTAATCATGTTTCTAGCAATCATGTTTCTAGCAATTATGTTTCTAGCAATCATGTTTCTAGCAATTATGTTTCTAGCAATCATGTTTCTAGCAATTATGTTTCTAGCAATCATTTTTCAAGCGATCAGCAATTAAAATGAATGATTTACCTCGACCTGATCACTTCTTGAAACTATAGTTTCCTTAAATCAGTGCAGGCATCTTTCCTTCAATCTTTACCGCGGCGCATGGTGCGAATGGATTTTATTGAGACACTTGGAAACATTTCAATGTAAGATTGGCAAGATTTCCGCGGACACGGATTCATTCTGCAGATTTCATCAAACACAGATTCATTCTGCATTTTGATTTTTAGATTCGTCTTTCTGAGTGTATTGAGAGAACCAGGAGATATTATACTCAGGTTAATAATAATATTAGAAATAATAATAATGATAATGATTATAATAACAATAATGATAATAATAACATATTCCTAATCTTCAGGTATACATTCCCATATTCTTAATCTCCGGGTAAACTTTCCCATAATCAAAATCTCCAGGTTTACTTTCCCATATTCTTAGTATCTAGGTATACTTTCCCATATTCTAAATCTCCGGGTATACTTTACCGTATTCTTAATCTCTAGGTATACTTTCCCATATTCTTAATCTCTAGGTATACTTTCCTATATTCTTAATCTCTAGGTATACTTACCCATATTCTTAGTATCTAGGTATACTTTCCCATAATCTTAATCTCCAGGTATACTTTCCAATATTCTTAATATCTAGGTATACTTTCCCATATTCTTAATCTCCAAGTATACTTTCCCATATTCTTAATATCTAGGTATACTTTCCCATATTCTTAATCTCTAGGTATACTTTCCCATATTCTTAATCTCTAGGTATACTTTCCAATATTCTTAATATCTAGGTATACTTTCCCATATTCTTAATTTCCAAGTATACTCTCCCATATTCTTAATCTCCAAGTATACTTTCCCATATTCTTAATCTCCAGGTATACTTTTTCATATTCTTAATCTCTTGAGACTGGTATTATAATGGAACCTCTTAATACAGGAGACTAATCGTAGTTATTGTATTTAGGTTCCCAACCTTGAGACTGGTATCATGGAACCTTTAATCACAGGAGACGATGACGGAGCTCTAACCAAGAATGAAGAGAAACAGTTCAGGAATATGGTGAACAGACTACACACAATATTCCAGGTTCGTAATATTTAGAAACATCCAGAAAGTCCAGTTAAGTTTGTGTCAACCATTGCTGTTCATGTAAAATACTTATCTGAAATCCTCGAAAATTGTCCTAGCCATAACGCATGGTCCTCCTAAACTAGAAAATCGTACCACCCCCCCTCCCCCCGAAATGATTACAATTGGGACGGAGTGAAATCACTTGGTAAAGTTTTTGCTTAAGATAACAATTTTTTTTACAGTTTTAATCCTTCCCAAAAGAGAACTTTATTTGTAAATGACGATCTAAAATCATATTTTTAAATGTTAAGAAGGTGTTGTATATCTTGTATATCTGTATTTCTATGGATAGGTTAGGTTAATTCCATAATTTATTTTATCAATAATATTTCAGTACGCCAGTAAACAAAATGTACGAGTGATGATAGATGCAGAGCAGAGTTATTTCCAACCAGCAATCCATAGGTTAATATTGTTGTATTCAATTCACTCAAATACAAAAATAAAAACAAACAATATTGGTTCGTCTTTGTGATCATGTAGCTCTCTCAGATTATCTGGTTGAATATAAGAAACATTAGAAACTTTTTAATCTGAGTCTTCCCACAAACTCAGATTTTCTTCACCCTTTATCTTTGCAACCCAATGTCGTATGTCTTAGCTATTTCAAATTGTGAATTTCGAAATACCTTTTTACACCTTCAGGCTGCAAAGATATAGGAAATGAAAATTAAAATTTTGTGGCAAAAAACTCAGTTTCTTTACTCTATTTTGACGTGATCTAGAAACCAGTCTTGAGAATAAAGTTAACACAAGTTGACAAAACAAATAAAAATCTCTTGTAAAATATATTCCTTTGATAAGGGAAGGAAGGGATATTTGAGAAGGATATTAGTTCAATTATCAAAAAAAAATATTTTTAACCTGGTTTCGTTTTAATTGATTAAATGAAGAATTATTTACTTAAAATACGTTTTCATGTAAATCGCTTTTTCTGGATAATTTGCTCTGATTTAGTGAAAACTTTTAAATAATGGATTTTATTGAGACACTTGGAAACATTTCAATCTTTTTATTTCATCAAAATATTTTTTATTGGTAGAGCAGTGTTCCTAAATACAGTTTTTGTGTCTTCTATTAATATTTTTAAGAATTCCATGTTTGAAACTAAGAAAAGTACCTTTAAGGCTTGCTATAGAGATGATGAGAACGTATAATACAGAGAAAGCAATTGTATTCAATACATACCAATGTTATCTCAAGAAAGCTCACAAAACAATAATACTGGATTTGGAACAGGTTAGATACATTATTATCTATTTATTCACCTTTAGATTTTTACATTTATTCATTAATACATCTATTAAACCATCTTTTCGTGCATCAACCCTATCACGATGGGGGGGGGGGGGTTCCAACCCCCCTGTGGTTTATACTGAATAACTTGAAAATGGCTTACATTGTGTTTAAAAAAACCACAAATGGTCTATAACTTTTAAATTAATTTAGCTAAAGGGCTAAGACTTTTATATTCGAAAAGGCCTTAAAAAATGGATATTATAACATGTGTCATAAGTAAATTCTAAATTTAAAAAAACTATTTTTGAAATTTTTTTTCGACATACTTTTTGAACTTTAACAAAATCCTCACTTACACCCTAACCATTAAAGTTAGAGGTCTAATTCTTTTTATGAGCACGTACAAACAATCGGTATATTTGATACATTCCACGTTTTTAGATTTCACGCCATTTGATATTTTATACAATTAATACAATTCTTTGCTGATTCCTTATTCCTTTAAACATTCTAAAAGAAATTCGTCATTGCCACAAACTCAAATTTTCATTGCAACCTAATAGCGTATTTCTTTGATATTTCAAACTTAGACTTCTTGATCTTACAGAATTTATAGTTTGAAATATCTGAGGTCTACGACATTCGGTTGAGTAGATATAAGGATTAGAAAATAAGACTTTCCTTTGTTGCTGGGTACATTTCATTGGTTGTTCACTAGTACATATCTTTAATAGTTGTTGTTTTTTTTAGGCAAAAAGGCAGAACTTTTATTTTGGAGCTAAACTAGTTCGTGGAGCGTATATGGAGCAGGAGAGAGCTAGAGCTGAACTACTAGGATACAAGGATCCAATCAATCCAACCTATGAGGTAAACATTTTTGTAAAAGAAATTCAGTTTTTGCCACAAACTCTAATTTTTCATTCTCTATATCTTTGATATCCGATGTCGTAGACCTTTGATAGTTCAATCGTAGATCCAATGGATATCAAAGTTTTGCACTATCAGATTGCAAAGATATGAGGATTACAAAATTTGAGTTGTTGGCAAAAACCTAATTTCTTTATTTTTTCTTTGTTTTGCAAAACTTTGATTTTTTTTACCTTTTAAACTTTTTAGTTTTATGTTACATAAAAGAAATATTAATTGCACAGTATACATATTTTATAACAAATTTCTCTAAAATGGTAAAACATAAGCATAATAGTTGGGTTGAGAGTAATCTTACACAAACGTAATCAGTTTGGCTTGTTTTGAAATACAAATATTTTTCTGGAATATATTGTTAAGAAGAATTTACAAGTTTGCCTTCTTGTGAGGTTGCAAACTTATATCAGCCATTCTGCAGAAAGAAACTTCTTCCTTTTGTGTATATTGTAGAATGTAGAGCTTCTATTAAAGTGTTTGTATTAAAGCAACCTCTGAGATGTACCACAAGGTCCTTATGTCTATATTGTAGAATGTAGAGCTTCTGTTAAAGTGTTTGTATTGAAGGCAACCTCTGAGATGTACCACAAGGTCCTTATGTGTATATTGTAGATTGTAGAGCTTCTATTAAAGGGTTTGTATTGAAGGCAACCTCTGAGATATACTACAAGGTCCTGTCTATTTTGTAGATTGTAGAGTTCTATTAAAGTGTTTGTATTCAAGGCAACCTCTGAGATGTACCACAAGGTCCTTATGTCTATATTGTAGATTGTAGAGCTTCTATTAAAGTGTTTGTATTCAAGGCAACCTCTGAGATGTACCATAAGGTCCTTATGTCTATATTGTAGAATGTAGAGCTTTTTATTAAAGTGTTTGTATTAAAGGCAACCTCTGAGATGTACCACAAGGTCCTTATGTCTATATTGTAGAATGTAGAGCTTCTATTAAAGTGTTTGTATTCAAGGCAACCTCTGAGATGTACCATAAAGTCCTAGATGAATGCTTGACCCGGATCCATGCTCTTAAACTGTCTGGAGAGGATCCTCAGAAGATTGGTATAATGGTTGCCAGTCATAACGAGGAAACTGTTAAATACGGAGTTCGCAGGTTAAAACATTTCTAACCTGTTTTCTGCCTTGAAAGAATTGTAAACATTTAATTAAATATCTTTATATATAAAATTGTTAATTGTTAATCTCAAACTGTAGGTTCTCGTCGGCATGTGAGGATACCTTTAAAGGGACTGTATCGTAATTTCAAGTTGTTCATCTCATTTGACATGTCATATTCACAACTGTGCTCTTAAAGCTTTGTCTCATCAAGAATGAATCCATGACTAACTCTTTAAACATTTATTATTTTCGATTGGGAATTCTCTACAAAGTGACTTGCGCATTTCTTCTGCGGATATAATGGGAGGAAATTATCAGTACTGAACACTTTTCAAGCTATTAAAACGACGACATCTTCCACATTATTGAAAAAAAGTTAAAAGTATCGTTGTGCATCAAGCATGCTCCTATTTAAGCGGAAGTTCAAGCAAAAACTGAAATAAAATTATTTTACGTGTTTTCATGAACAATCCCTTTAATACGAATGTTTCCCCACAATTGCAAGCTTCTACAATTAATAACTACAAAGCTAATTGATTAAAAAATACTCCTCTTTAAAGAAAATGTTTAAACTCTAGATCTGGTTTAAAATAGTTTAATGAACATTAGACACAGCCATTGAGCAGTGTAAACAGACCCATTTTAAACAATGATTTCATAAGTATCTGATATTTAATTTTCTATTTTGATATTATTTGATATTTAATCTTCTATTTTGATATTATTTGATATTTAATCTTCTATTTTGATATTATTTGATATTTAATCTTCTATTTTGATATTATTTGATATTTCTTATTATTATAAAGATTTATTCACACACAAAGATATAAATGGTGTAGTTTAAATTTGTTTAAATAAATTTTTTTTGAAAATACAGATTTCCAAAAGAAAAGAGAAAAAATATGCAAAATTATGCACAAATAGAAAACATTGATTTTTAATCACTACATAACATATTTATCATGAATGCATAAAATGTCTGAGAACCAAGATAGCAAACTTATAAAGTTCTGTTTATCAATTCCCATACCATACCATTTAATCTTCTATTTTGATATTATCTGATATTTAATCTTCTATTTTGATATTATCTGATATTTAATCTTCTATTTTGATATTATTATCTCCCTAGGATGGCGGAGTTGAACCTGGATCCTCAAGAACGTGTTCTTTGTTTTGCTCAGCTCCTTGGGATGTGTGATCAGATATCATTTCCTCTAGGTAACATTATCATAATAATAATATATTCATACTTGCTTCTCAGGAACTGGTTAGTCGCCGCTAACTTTATTTTTTAATCCCTTTATTTTTTAATCCATCAAGTTGCAAAGGTATAAGGATTAGAAAATTATAGTTTGAGAGTAACAATCAATTCCTTGTCCTGTAGAATTATACCGCATAAAAGGAAAAGTAAATTATTTTTCAAAAATCGATTTGATTTATTTAAATACGTATTGATTTTTTTTAACCCTTAGTTTAAAAAGTTTAAAATCATTTTTTCAAAATAAAAAAACTTATATTTCTAGGTCAGGCCGGATACAGTGTATATAAGTATGTTCCTTATGGTCCAGTCAATGAAGTTCTCCCTTACCTCTCTAGACGGTTAGCATGCTGCACTACAGTGCTGTAGTTAAAAAAACGGAATGCTTTTTTTCAAATTTACAAATTAATGAGAAAGGAAAATGGTTAAATGTATCCCCCTCCCCCTTCAAACCCTTTTTCAGAATTAGTTCCCCTGTCAGTAACCTGTTTTGTGTTAGCCTCCTGTAAGCTGTTTTCATGCATCCCCGTCCAAGCTGTATTTTTGAGTCCCCCTGTAACCAGATTTCATACGTTCCCCCGTAACCAGTTTTCATGCGTCCCCCTGTAACCAGATTTCATGCGTTCCCTTGCAACCTGTTTTCATTTTTCCTCCTGTTACTTGTTTTATTATTTTTCCCCCTGTAACCAGATGTTCCCCCGTAACTAATTGTCAAGCGTCTCCAGTAACCAGATTTGATGAGTCCCCAAGAAGTCTTTTTTACTTTATAGTGTTCCCCCCAATTGTTGAATCGTACCGATAAAACGAATCCTAAACTTTAAAATTGAACCCTAACCTGTAATCCATCTTGGAGTAACGCGTTTGAATCCTAGGCTTATTCTCAGACTAATTATTATTTTTCCCACTCTGGAATAGTTGCATACACAGATCAAAACTGAAATTTATAACTTATTCATATAAATGTACTAAAACTTATAGTAAAAAATATCTTTTTTCTTCATCTTGAATTTTCGCTCCGGAGTTCTACGCATTAAGGCGCTAATTTTTTAAAGATGACTTATCAACGTACCTAAGTTGGCGTCCGAACTATGAAATAATCGATAAGGGTTTATCTCAAGCTACTCATTACTTTTATCTGAGAACAATCCTTCGTCAAAATATCAAAGAAATATCAAAGACCAAAGGTCTGTCTCGTACCAAGCTTTTTGATAAAATGACAAAGGACTCTCTCTCCCCTGGACTCGTATAATAGGAATCAGACAACTCTTTTGGGACCTGAACTGTACTGCAACGAAATCCAATGAACCCTGGAATGACTCAAATCTCATGCAACACCAATAGTTTTTTTTGCAACCTGTAACCTGTTTTGTGTGTCCCCCTGTTACCTGTTTTTATGCGTCCCCCACGTATTCTCTTTTCAACGACCTCCCTCCATGTGAAAAATGTAGTTTTTCTTAGATTTTTATCTGATCTGATATTAAAGGCTTTCAAAACACCATTCAACTATATTAATAATTCAGCTTTCACCTCTACAATCAAACTTTGTATCTGCAATAATCCAGATATTAACTTAATTTCACAGAACTGAAACCTCATCTTCTAAACACAGTATTGTTGGAAAATATAAATTGCTGTTGAACACAAGTTTAATGTATTGATAATGTATATTATTTAAACCTTAAATTATTGTTATTATTTAAAGATTTATGTAAATGTACCATTGCATCAAATATTATAATAAATGTTAAAAGTTGCATTCAAAAACTGAATTTTAGATAAAAGAAAAGGTTTAAAGTAAAAAAAGTTAGAAAAAATATTAAAGAAATAGAAAAACAGAAAACAAAAAAGCTAGTTACAAGAAGAGAAACATTTAAGGATGAAAAAAAAACATGAAATACTTTTATGTAAAAATTAAAAATGTTAAAAATGAAAAGAGCAAAACATCCCATGAATAAAAAATAACAAAGGATTTGAGTTTTTGGAAAAAACTCTGATTTTTAATCCCTATATCTTTTTTTTACCAGATTTTGGAGATCTAAGATATTTTAAATTATGAATTCTGTTAGATTAAATAATCTAGTTTGAAATTTAAAGGTTTACATTTTCAGGTTACTCAGATATAGGAATTAGAAGATTTCAGTTCCATTAAATGAAACAATGGAAGTGAATAGAAACTTAAAAACATCAAAACATTTCTTTATTTTTTAAAATTAGTTTAAAATTTTTTTCTTCATTTTTTGGGGACAGAATTTTTGAAACAACTTGTTTCGAAACAAACGGAAGAAATAGCAATCCTCATGATAAACAATTTTTTTTGCCATTACATATTTAAATTGTCCATTTTAATACAGACTTCAGTAAAATGTAAAAACAAAAACTGGTTGAAATTGTTCCTTTTTTAAGAAAGAATATTTATTTTGGCGGAGAAAGATAATATTAAGCTTAAAAATTAACAAACCTAAAAAAAATATACAAGATTGAAAAATATTCTTTGCTTTGAAATATAAAAATCAATTTTATTTAATTTACCGGATTGTATAAAAGTGGATTTAAATTTGTAGTTTTGGCAGGAAGTTTGGTTGTAGGTCTTTCTCTGTGTGTAGTTGTAGCGCTGGAAACCAACCTACTTTATTATTACTGAGCGTAATTAGCCCGGTTAGTACGCAGTGGACAACGGAACTAAAACTTATTTATCAGATTTATTATTGGAAGGGGGGACGGAGGTTGAATTATTTTATGGAAATGACCGAAAGAGTCTGTAGACGTAGTTTGAAATGAACCTCTACAGTTCCTAAGTAGAATGCCGTTTAAACTTTGGTCTGTTTTCAGTTGCGTTTTTTAAAGAAAAGTTACTTGTAAATTTTATATAGGTATGTAAACTTTTTTAAATAGAGAGAAAACCTTCGATATTTTCCTACTTGTTACCCAAATAAATACTGTTGTGAATCAGACTTAAATATTTTCTGGAGTGCTTTTAACTTTAATCCAAGTGCTTTACATGACTTACTCAATTATAAGACAAACCGATCAATGACATTTCCCAGTTGTATCGGACACTAAAACTAAATAGAATATTTAAGAAAAATGTTTCTTTTCACTTTGGACGGAGGGTAGAAAGAAAACAGGAAACAGAATGTGTTGCTGCTACATCCGGTCATGCTGCTTCGGCTGCCGTTCCCTTCCGTCAGGTTTAGTCCAATACTTCCGCCAAGTTTAGTTTTATCGTTCCGTCAGGTTTAGTGTTATCACTCTGTCAGGTTTAGTTTTATCATTCCGTCCGGTTATATTTGTATTTTTTCTCCAGGTTAAGTTTTATCATTCAGTCAGGTTTAGTTTTATCATTTCATCAGGTTTATTTTTAACTTTCCGTCAAGTTTATTAATCTTATCATTCTGTGAGGTTCAGTTTTATTACTCCGTCAGATTTAGTTTTTTAATTCCGTCAGGTTTAGTTTTATCACTCCGTCAGGTTTAGTTTTATAATTCCGTCAGGTTTAGTTTTATCATTCTGTCAGGTTTAGTTTTATTACTCCGTCAGGTTTAGTTTTTTTACTCCGTCAGGTTCACCTATATCATTCCGTCAGATTTAGTTTTATAATTCCGTCAGATTTAGTTTTAACATTACGTTAGGTTTAGTTATATCTTCCCGTCAGGTTTAGCTTTATCATTCAGTCAGGTTTAGTTTAATATTATCATTGAATCAATAACTATATTGAAGGAGTGGTAAAATTATCTTTAATATCAAATTATTTGGAGTGTTAATATCATCGTTAATGTGAATAATAATTAATGATATTATTAGGAGTGTTTATATTACCTTTAATTTCAATAATTATGTTGTTAGGAGTGATAATACCATCTTTAATGTAAATAATAATTAATGATATTATTAGGAGTGTTAGTATTATCTTTGATAGCAATAATCATATTATTTGGAGTGTTAATATCATAATAATTAATGATATTATTAGGAGTGTTAATATTGTCTTTAATTTCAATAATTATGTTGTTAGGAGTGATAATACCATCTTTAATGTAAATAATAATTAACGATATTATTAGGAGTGTTTATATTATCTTTACTAAACCTTGTGGTGAATATCACCCTGTTGGTCCTGCCCTGGTTGGTGATAACCCTGGTGGATGAGAACGGATACAAGGGTTGGTTAATCATCTTGATGGCGGCAGATATCAGCCTAGGGATCGGAGCTAAAACAAAAAATAAGGTTGGTCTTTAAATGAGATTTGAGAAACTTAGAAAAAAGTACGGAACGTTTATTTCTATTCTAACTTTATTTTTCTTTTAAAGTAATAATACAGTGTTGACATGCAGTGCAGTTAGGCCACTGAGAGACTTTTTTTTACAATTCTTGATTAAATACTGGATTGCCAGCCAATTCCATTTAAAGCGAACACTCCCTTTAAAGCGATTGTTGACAATGATCAAATATGGGATTGAGTTTGAAGTTGATTGGTTTTATTTAATGTTTCTACAATGAAAATATTTAGAATTGAGAAGCAAAAATAGTTTTGATCCTAAATTCTAAAAACTCTGAAAAATTCGACAAAAACGACATAACGTTATAAATTAGGATTTTCTGTATGTATGCGATTAATATAAAATCCAATTTAATATTTATTAAAAAAACGTAAAAAAAACTAAAAACCAATTATTCTAAAGTTTTATTATAAACGTAATTAGGATAATAACTGGTCAATCCCGTTTATTGAAATAATTTTGTGGAAAGAAAACATTTAAATCAATGTATTAAGAGCAATGAGTTCTTGATACATTTAATTAAATTTTCTAATCCTTTGAAATTTCAAACTTTAACTATTTGATTTAACACAATTCATAGTTTGAAATGTCAAAGGTCTAAGACATCGGGCTGCAAAGATATAGGGCTTAAACAATTTGATTTTGTAGCAAAAACTCAATTTCTTTAAACAAGTAATTCTAAGAAATTACCTGATAATGTCGTCGTTGTCTAGGTTCTCCTGCTACCCTGGATGATCATCTACATCATACACACCCTCCTCACCCTCGTCATAGGACCCCTCATCATCATAGGGTCCATCCTAGCTGCAACCGAGTTCAGGTACATGATTACAAGCAAGAATGTAATCCTTGATTACGAGAATACAAGAATACATGATTTACAGAATACATGATTTACAGATTACAAGATTACAATATTACAATATTACAGTATTACAATATTACAATATTACAGTATTACAATATTACAATATTACAGTATTACAATATTACAATATTACAAGATTAAAAGATTACAAGATTACAATATAAGAAGATTATAAAATAACAAGATTACAAGATTACATGATTAAAATATAACATGATTACATGATTACATGATTACAAGATTACAAAATTACAAGATTACAAGATTACATGTTTGCAAAATTACAAAATTACAAAATTACAAAATTACAAAATTACAAAATTACAAAATTACAAAATTACAAAATTACAAAATTACATAATTACATAATTACAAAATTACAAAATTACAAAATTACAATTTTGCAAAATTACAAAATTACAAAATTACACAATTACAATATTACAAAATTAGAAGATTACAAAATAACAAGATTACATTATTACATGATTAAAATATAACATGATTACATGATTATAAAATTACAAGATTGCAAAATTAAAAGATTACAAAATTAAAAGATTACAAAATGATCAATTAAACAAAATCTTAAATTTAACCTTTAAAAGATCACATATTTTAGGAAATCAAACTTTTTGGAGGAAAACTTCAATACGACAAGGTAGAAACATTATTACATTCTAGTTCTGGAATATCTGGAATATTTTGAAATATTCTGGAATATCTGGAATATCAAAATAATAATAATTTATAAGACTGTTCTAAGTTATTCTGTATTTAAGATCACGCTCCGGCTCAACTCATGTACATTTGAATCTGAGCTGAACCGACCTTTAAGATAACGCTCAACTCATGTAAATTTGAATCTGAGCTGAACCGACCTTTAAGATTACGCTCAACTTATGTACATTTGAATCTGAGATGAACCGACCTTAAAGATCACGCTCAACTGAGTTTGTTCAGCCCCGCCGTACACCAACTACAAACTAAATTCGAATCCCTATATCTTTGCATTTTTAAGGTGGTAACCTTAGAGTTTTTGAACGAACAGAATAGTTTAAAATATTCAAGGTCTACGACATTGGGCTGCAAAGATAAAGGTAGAAAATCAGTGTTTGCGGCAAAGACTCAAAATTCCACTACATCACTGAAGCGGCAATTTTACGTTTTATTTTGTCCTTTTTGTAACCGGAAAAAAATAAATAAATCTCAGCTATTTTCGGCCAAGTCGCGGTTGGAAAAAAAGATAATTTATTTATCTCCATAATCTAAATGATGCCGGTTGTGAGAGTAATTTATGGCACAAAAAATTATGTGATAAAATCTTTTTATCTGATAATTGCAGGAACCATATTGACGGTTTTCTGCCAAGCGAGAATTCTCTGGACATATTCCTGGATAAACTGGAATCTAAAGCACCCAAGGATGAGACGGATATAAGTAAGCATTATATGCAAACAAACAAAAAAAATTTTTTATGTCAAAACGCTTTATTTTTTGGTGCTTATCACATTTTTTTCTAGATCGATTTTGTCACCAATATTGATCAGAAAACTATTTTTCGGAAACTTTTTCTGTTTATTTTTAATGTCCTGTCTTAAATGAAGACATTTACAGAAAGCACTTTAAATTATACTTGATGCACTAATTTTATTGATTGAAAAGTGGATACCCATTCCTACCTTTATTATGAATATATTTTGTCTGTTCTAGAACGTATCTCCGGGTTAGTAGTTGCTGGATTTCTCCCTCTGTGGTATATCTACTGCTGGATTGCAGTCAAGAGTCTGTATCGTCTTCTTGCAATCCTAGATACAGAGACAGAGAGGTAGGAGTAGCAATCCTAGATACAGAGACAGAGAGGTAGGAGTAGTAATCCTAGATACAGATACAGAGAGGTAGGAGTAGTACAGAGACAGATAATGATTAAATTCTCAAAGTAGTAAATGTATAGTATTGATAATAATGATAATAAAAGTGGTCGACGTTTCATATCAATACAATGAATACGACGTTTCTTTTTAAGTTTTGATTTCTAACAAGATTTTTTTCGAATTACAAGTTTTCAAGTAAACAAAGCGACGCTGTTAATCTACACCTTATCTTTGTTTCCATGTTTACGTGTATCCATGCTGATTGAAGCTTGGTAGAAAACAAACATTTAAATCGAAAGTCGTCTTCATTATAGTGATACATACGGCGATGACTGTATATTCATAGTACTGATAATTATGATACTAATAAAACTGAATATTTCAATAGACCTCTATTTTTAGTAACAGTGGTCGAAGGTTTCCAAGATCCAATAGAGTGATGATACATCCTAGGGACAATCAGCAGAACCAACCGTACATTAACCATCAGCCATACACTAACCAGCAGCCGTACACTATACGTGGAGTACAGGGTGTACAACCCCCCCAGTTCATAGCACCAAGCTATCCAGGGTACTACACGTATCCCCCATACAGCATGCCACCCCCCTACTGAAAGTATAGAGTCCTTCCATAGAGCATGCCGCCCCTCTATTAAACAGCATAAAGACCCTCCATACAGCATGCCGCCCCCTTAATGAACAGTATATAGACCCTCCACAGAGCATGCCACCCCCCTACTGAACAGTATATAGTCTCTCCATAAAGCAAGCACGGCCCCACTGAACAGTATATAGTCCCTTCATAAAGCATGCCGCCCCCCTACTGAACAGTATATACTGAACAGTATGTCTCTCCATAAAGCATGTCCCATTCTCACCCACCTACTGGGTACTGAATGATATTCCAGAAAATTTATAGCAACCTGCATCATGCTTTTCGGCCTTACGTTGAAGAATGCCACCATACAATGACATTGCGTGCGCATTGTTTTTTAATCTCACTCCTCAAAATTCCACAGCACATCATATCCCTCATACATCTTAAGCATACTGCCCCCTCACTATTCATTTTCAGAACCCCTCCCCTTTCCCACCTACATCTTCAGCATGACGTTTTTCAACTCTATGATCTGCAATCAGCATGCTACTTAGTGTACACTTACAGTCCACTGAATAATCAGAATGATGTCCAGTGTCCAGTACACTGAATAGTTAGCATGCTGTCCAGTGTACAGTCCACTGTACAATCAGCATGCTGTCCAGTGTACAGTCCACTGAATAATCATCATGCTGTCTAGTGTACAGTCCACTATATACTCAGTATGCTGTCCAATGTACAGTCCACTGTATAATCAGCATGCTGCCCATTGTACAGTCCACTGTATACTCAGTATGCTGTCCAGTGTCCATTCCACTGTATAATCAGCATGCTGTCCAGTGTACAGTCCACTGTAAAATCATCATGTTGTCCAGTGTACAGTCCACTAAATAATCAGCATGCTGTCTAATGTACAGTCCACTGTATACTCAGCATGCTGTCTAGTGTACATTCCACTGTATAATCAGCATGCTTTTCAGTGTACAGTCCACTGTATAATCAGCATGCTGTCCAGTGTCCAGTCCACTGTATAATCAGCATGCTGTCCAGTGTACAGTACACTGTATAATCAGCATGCATTTCAGTGTACAGTCCACTGTATAATCAGCATGCTGTCCAGTGTCCAGTCCACTGTATAATCAGCATACTGTCTAGTGTACAGTCCACTGTATAATCAGCATGCTGTCCAGACAGTGTACAGTCCACTGTATAATCAGCATGCTGTCCAGTGTACAGTCCACTGTATAATCAGCATGCTGTCTTTTGTCCAATCTTCAAAACTAAAATTTGACAATTTTCCGAAAAAATAATTGGAATGAACTGATGTGTGAAAATGTCAGAGTTAACAGAATTATATCAAATATATTTATTTTAGATTTTTTTATTATGAAAGGAATGAATTTGATTGTATTCCCAAGTCCTTCTATTTTTTTTCTTTATTATGAGAGAAATGAATTCGAGTGTATTCCCAAGTCCTCTTATTTTTTTCTTTATGAGAGGAATGAATTAGAGTGTATTCCTAAGTCCTATTTTTTCTTTATGATTATGAGAGGAATGAATTCGAGTGTATTCCCATGTCCTCCTATTTTTTTCTTTATTATGAGAGGAATGAATTCGAGTGTATTCCCAAGTCCTCCTATTTTTTTCTTTATTATGAGAGGAATGAATTAGAGTGTATTCCTAAGTCCTATTTTTTCCTAATGATTAGGAGAGGAATGAATTCGAGTGTATTCCCAAGTCCTTCTATTTTTCATTATCATGAGAGGAATGAATTCGAGTGTATTCCCAAGTCCTTCTATTTTTCTTTATCATGAGAGGAATGAATTTGAGTGTATTCCCAAGTCCTCCTATTTTTCTTTATTATGAGAGGAATGAATTAGAGTGTATTCCCAAGTCCTTCTATTTTTCTTTATTATGAGAGGAATGAATTAGAGTGTATTCCCAAGTCCTTCTATTTTTCTTTATTATGAGAGGAATGAATTAGAGTGTATTCCTAAGTCCTATTTTTTCTTAATGATTATGAGAGGAATGAATTTCAGTGTATTCCCAAGTCCTCCTATTTTTCTTAATGATTGTAATGAATTTGAGTGTACTCCCAAATCCTCCTATTGTTTTCTTTATTATGAAGGATCCACGACGTCAAAAGTCGTATCAGTAATGTTTTCAAAGTTTCAGGCATCTCTTCTAAAGATTTTTTTTTCAGATTTCTTTACGTTAATAAATGTCGTCTTCTCTTAAAGTTAAACAAATTACAAGGTTGTTACAAATAGAGATTATTTAAAGAGTTCTTTATTTTTTCTTAATGATTATGAGAAGAATGAATTTCAGTGTATTCCCAAGCCCTTCTATTTTTTTTGTTTGTTTTTTATCTGAAAATTTAAAATCATTAAAAAGGACTTTAATTTTTAAGTAAGCTTCAATTTAAAGAAGTCCATCCAGGATTCACAACCATACCCTTCACATGTTCGACTGATTATCGAGGACAGAGAACTCATTGTATATAACTTTAATATGCTGTGTAAAAAGCTGTACAGTTAGAGTTACGCTAGCGTACCGTGTGAACTCAACGCCGATGACGTTACATTTATCCTTCAAAAATTTTGAATATTCTCTTTCAAATGCGATTTTCAAAAAGTGAATATTTATTTTCCGTTCCTTCAAGAAAGTAAATATCAATATTCCTTAAATATAAAACAGCTTGCAAACAGCTTGTTCAGTCAAAGGTTAAAAGGGTATCATTGTGAATCCAGGTTGCCCCTCCTTACATGGAAGGTCACTTGAAATTATGCTTACAGTCCCTTTAAAGAAAAAAGTAGCGAGTATAGAAACTTTGAACTGAAATAATTTTTTCCTGAAACTTTTTAAAGTCCTTTAAAGGCTAATGAGTAAAATAGGAAAAGTAGATTAGAGTATAAAATACAATATTTTAAATGCTTTAAAATGTTTAATTTAATCTTTACTATGCTTTTAAATCCACTGATATCCCTGTAATTTCATTAGAAAAACAAACAAATCACTTAAATTCTTTTGATCCCAGATTACTACTTTAATATATTGTTAATTTATTGTTTTATTGCAAAGAGAGAGAGAGACCTTAAAATATTTTAAACTATGAACTCTGTTGGGTAAATTAATGTTTTAAATGTCAAAGGTTTACAAGATTAAGGGATAAGAAAAGTTGAGTGTTTGACAAAAAAACTAATTCCTTTGATTGGTTGTAAAGTCTTTGGTCACTGGAATCTGCCTGTAAGTGGCTGATTCATTCACTGGAATCTGCCTGTAAGTGGCTGATTCATTAAGTGTACTACTGTCCCGGTCTGCCTTAAATAGTCTGTATGTGTACTGTACTGCTTTCTCTAGCTGGTTTAAAGTAGGCCCTGTACTTGAAATCAACCCCAGTTCACAGAGTAATCAAAACAGAGATTATAACATGAATTTAGTCAAAGCATTATTTATATCTTTACGAAATATAAATATTTAATATATAGATAGATAGATAGATAGATAGATAGATAGATAATTAGATAGATATATAGAAGATAAGTATAATGAGGCAGGAAGATAAGGCAGTATACTGAGATAGTATTTACTGGATTAAGAACATTTCCACAAATATATTTAGTAAGTTAAAGGGAGAAGGTGTGCGGAGCATTTCAATCATCAGGGTAGTAAGTAGTGAAGCTGGAATCTGGATAAGGTTTTAATCTGTTTCCGATTGTGGTATTTTTGATAAGAATACATCTTAAAGAGAGAGAAGATGAGTAGAAAGAGAAGAAGGAGGAGAAGGTGTAAAAAGAATTAAGAAAAGGGAAAGGAAAGAAAAGGAAGAGAAGGAAATGAAGAGAATGAAAGACAAGAGCATAAAAAGAAGAGAAGGATTAGCAGGAAAAAGAATAGAAAAGGGAAGGAAGAGAAGAAATGAATAAAAGGAAAAGTATGAGAAAAAGAGAAGAAAAGAAAAGGGTGAGAGAAGGAAAAAGAATAAAAGGAAGTCAAAAGAATGAAAAGGATGAGAAAGAAAAAGAAACGAAGGAAAAAAAGTAAAGGAAAAAAGGGTAATAAACAGGAAAATTGAGAGAGGTCAAAGAAAGAGAAGTAAAAAAAGAGAAGAAAAAAAGAGAAGGGAAAAGGAAGACCAGGAAAAGGAAGATAATTAAAAGGAAGAAAAGGAAATTGAAGAGAAGGGGTAAACCAGGAGGAGAAGAAGGAAATGGAAGAGAAGGAGAAAGGAATTTACGGAAAAGGAGAATAACAAGGAAGAAGAAAATGAAGAAAAAAATGAAGCTAAGTGAGGTCAATTTGAAAGCTTTATTAGGATTTTCTATTGATTCAATGACTAAGGATTAGATATATGTAAATATAACGGACTTTTGTTTCGGTTTTGGTGGAAACATAACATTTAGGATTTGCTTTAGAAACCAAAACTATGACGAGATTTAAATTTAAAAAATCTTTGTTCTTTTTTCAAGAATATGAAATTAACAATTTTAAACATTATTGGTTTAATTAAAAAATCTAAGTTTCCAATTATTCTGAACCTAAGCTGTTAATAACGATGTTAACCATAGAAACTTTTGTAAATTAGCAGCGGAACCCTTCTAAACCAAATTAGTAATTAATATACATCCAAGATGGTTGACAGAGGTAGGTGTGGTGTGTTGGCGTTTGTTAGATACATAAAACAACAAAAGACAAAAAAATTATATATAAGATTTAGATTACTTGGCTTTAAGAGCGCTTCGCGCCTATCTTTTATTTCAATTGTAAACATTTTCTCTATGAATACATTGTGAAACAAAACTCCAAAAAAAATTCGCGGATTTTATAAAAATAAATTTCGTGTATTTTCAAATTAATGAAAATCTAATTTTGTTGAAGGCAATTTTTTTAAATTTTGATCATTCATAAACCTTCCCTGGTGTTCATGTTAGGTGCCACACAAAATTTGGGCCCGATCTGTTCAGCCGTTTTTACGTTTATTGGATACAAACAGACAGACAAGCAAAGTATATATATTGATAAATTATTATAATAAGCCTAATGTTTTTTGAAGGCTAAAGCATAGAATAAGAAATTACAAAGGACAAGGTTTAATTTTTTTAATGAATAATATTGAACGATGTGGAGCTGATAAGAAATTAAATCATAAATCATCTTTCAAGTTTTATTATCAAATAATTTCAAGAAAACTTTAAAGCGCGGCCGAGGAAAGGATAGAGGTGTGTGGGGGGGGGGGAGCTTAGTAGTTCAATTTTTTTTTAATTTAGCTCAAGACCATAACTCTTAAGCCAGAGTTTTGGTACATTTTATGCGCATTAAAGCCAGTTAAGAATAAAAAAAGTGACTCTTCGATTTAAATACAATTTCAAGATAAATATTAAATACTATATTTTAGGGCACTTCGTCCCAATCTTCTAGTTTTAGCTTGTTAGGGCTTATCTATCTAATCTTTGTTCACCTGATTGTTAGTGCTTATCAATCTAATCTTTGTTCACCTGATTGTTAGTGCTTATCTATCTAATCTTTGTTCACCTGATTGTTTGCTTATCTATCTTATCTTTGTTCACCTGATTGTTAGTGCTTATCTATCTAATCTTTGTTCACCTGATTGTTTGCTTATCTATCTAATCTTTGGTCACCTGATTGTTAGATTGTCTGAATCAATAATCCTCATGAACCCCTTTTTTATTGGAGAACACGGAAGGAGCATGGGAATGTATGAGCCTTATTAAAATGTTCTTAGTTGTGTTGGTCAATTTTATAGGTCGTCTTCCGTCAACTTAGTTTACAGACAAAACTAGGTTCCCAACCTAGTTTTTAGGAATAACAAATTTCGCAGATTTTTTTATGAAAAATTTCTAAATAATTGAATTTGACAATATTTTTAGTTCTGAGCGGCCATAAACCCTTACTGGTGTTAAAAATGATAAAAATGTTAAAAATGTTTGTCTGATTGCTTCCACCATTTTAACACAAAGCCCAACAACTAGTTTGGGGACTCGGTTTTGCACGGAAAATCTGTAAAGGGGTTCTTGAGTTATGATCGGACATGCAAGCAGACAAAAAACAGAGATTACCACTTGTTTATATATATATTTAAAATTTTAAATTAGATAAAATGTTTCAAGAATAAAGAATCGAAGATGATCATATCTACAGTTCCTCTCATCTTCACCGCCATAATAACAACATGGGTAGGTGTACACTGTACAATGTACACTGTACACTGTACACTGTACACTGTACACACTATAAACACAGTTAGTTCAGAGCCCGAAATTTTAAACAGAGTATTGTAATAAAATCAAGTATTGGAAAACCCGGTATCATGAATGGGGTCAGACAGTTTTGAATTTTGCAGATTCCAATATTTTATTAAGAAATATTATTTCATTATTTCTTTACATTCTTTTTTTGTTTCCTGATTTCTTAAAATTAAAATCTACGAAAATACATAGACCCCAACGATACTCTCTTAAATTTCAGGCTCAGCGCTATTTTAGAGATAATCCCTATATCTTTGCAAAACGCAGACCATGATATTTCAAGCTATGAATTTTGATAGATAAAATAATATAAGTTTGAAATGCCAAAGGTTAACATCATCAGGTTGAAAAGTTCTAGGAATCAGAACATCTGAGTTTATATAAGTTGGAAAGAATCATAGAGAAAGCACAGATTTAAGGAAATTTTTGGGAAAGTTTTTATTTTTACTGGACTGGGATGTAATTTCAAGAAATTCAAATTCAAGGGATTACAATTTCAAAAAGTGGTATTTCCGATTCATAATGGTACCCTTATAGTGCCAATATCGTAGTTTTTACATCTTAAAACATGTTGAATTTTCGTAAATGTATCCGCAGATCATTCATTTTTTGTAAACCCACAAATAAAAGTTATCTTTTTTGGGATGGAAATATACAATAATATATCTCATTAACTCTTGATCAGAAAAAGGTACATTCATGGTAATGTTATGATTTAGACATGTATACTCTGAAAATTGATGTTCATATAAATATATATTTTTGTATTAAATAGATAAGATCTTTATGAAACTCTGAATCTAAAGAAAAGAAAAAAAATGCTGAAATTAAACCAAATATTATTCAACAAATCACTTTGAAGAACAAAGACAGACGACACAAACCGGCACACAAGGAAAACAAGATGAAAATCCTTGATAGGGTTCCAGGACTTTGAATTTGTTTTCTGTAGGTGGAGGGGTTGCTGAGTATAGGGTTTAATATCACTTATCTTCTCTGCAACTCCTGTCTGATAAAAGTATCGGATTCTGATGAGAAAAGTTCCACTGTGAATAAAGTAGCGCGACTCTTCTACTCTACTTATGTCACTTCAGGTAAAATTTCTGGGAAACAAGCCACTCAATCGGGTTCAATCGAACAAACAATCCAACATCAATATAAGAAACATGATAAAGGAAATGAGTTTTTGTCACAAACTCAAATTTGCCAACCTAATGGTGTAAACCTTTATATTTCAAACTTAGATCACTTGAACTAACACAATTCATAGTTTGAAATGTCTAAGGTCTACGACATTGGGTTCTAAAGAAATAGGGATTAAAAAATCAGAGTTTGTGGCAAAGACTCAATTCATTTGGTGGTTAAATATCATTTAAAAGCTAGCATAGTCATAGTGTACTTATCCATCTTTTATAATCTCCTCGCTCATTTATATATATTTATATGTTAGAGTTATAACTGGTCGAACGGCTGGACCGAATCGGCTGAATTTTTTATAGGCTAATAAATTGTGATTTTTTTTTTTAAATTCGATTTTTTTCCAAAATAAGATTTAAGAAAATAAATTTCACTGGCAACGCCGGGCACTTGAGCTAGTATATATTATAATTGTATAGGTGAATGTAGGTTTATTTCAGCTAGTATATATTATAATTGTATAGGTGAATGTAAGTTTAGTGACGGAACTCCAGCAGTTGTGGAAAACACGAATGATCTAACTAAGCCTGGAACCATATTTATTTTTCAGGTCATCTTTTTTATTCTACAAGTTAAAAGAGTAACAAATGGGGGGGGCACCCTCCCCTTACTTCCTAAATAAGAGGGGCCCGTAGCCGCAGGCCTAAAACGTAAGATTTTCCCCGCAGCAAGCATCTGTACAAAAATGACATATAATTTTACACACCCCTCACTTTAAATATGCGATACTTCAGATTTTTTGTTGGAATTTGAATAAAACACAAATCAATTTTTTTTAAATTCTTAATATCACGTGATGATGTAAGGGTGAATTATTTTGTTATCTCCTGTAGAGCGGCCGAGTTTCGCACAGTCAGCGAGAATTGCAAGAAAGAGAGAGCCTGTTTCATCCAAATCTTGAAAAGACGACATCTAGTGTCCTATCTGTTATTTTTATTTAGTCTATGCTCAGATTAATGTCGCAAAGGAATTGAGTTTTTGCCACAAACTCAAATCTTCTTATCCCAATATCTTAACAACCTCATGGTGCAAACCTTCGATATTTCAAACGTAGATTACTTTATCTATAAGTATTAATAGTTTGAAATATCTAAGGTCTACGACATTGGTATACAATGATATAGAGATTAGAAAATCAGAGTTTGTTGCAAAAACTCAATTCCTTTGTTATTTTCGACCTCTTCAGAAGAGAAATATTAATTTTAGTTTTTAGATTTTGTTTCTTATTTTTCACACAGTATGGGTTCTCTCTACATCAGGTTTACGGAAAGTAACAAAGTAAGCAAATATTATTTTTTTCAAGTCAACGCAAATTTTGACCCAGTGTCGCATAAAACGTCGTTTTTTTTTGTCTTCTTTATTTTTAGCGTTTTCTAGTCAATTTGCATATTTAAAAACCTTTCTTATGACAAACAAACCCCCCCCCCTCTTTGCCGATTCTAACCAATAAAAACATTTAAGAATCAAAAGCTGCAAAATTTTAGAACAAACGATAATATTGCATGACGAATGTTTTAGTTATTAAAAACGCATGAGAAATGACGCCACTCTGATAAGACGGGAATACAAATATTCCGCATAAAAAGGAAGTATCTATATTTAACTCAATTACAAATTATGTTTGAATCTTATTGGTGGATTTGTGTCAATATAAATCAAAGTTTAAGACTCTGATTGAGTTAGAGTTAGTAGATTTTCAAGGAATTTAAACGTTTTTTTTCAAATCTCCGAAATTTTGACTAATGAAATGACAGTTAAACTGCCTAAGTTTCTATCTGAAATCTATTGTATTATCAGGACTCATCGTCATTTTGCCTACCCATGGATAGGACTAACACTGACAATAATCATCATGGATCTTGTATCCACCGGGTTTATTTTCTCCGATACCGGTAAATGGACCGAGAGTGCTGAAACGGAAACTATGGAGAACGGAGTTTATGCGTTCGTTGCAATGCTTCTCTATACTTCCAGAGGGTTCATCGTTCTTTTCTATAACATGGTTCTACTCATACTCATCCTTAACTCTATATTTACTCAGGTATACTTTATATACTTTTACTCTATACTCATCCTTAACTCTATATTTACTCAGGTATACTTTATATACTTTTACTCTATACTCATCCTTTACTCTATATTTACGCAAGTAAAGTCTTTACACTTAGACATTCTAAATTCTGTTTTTATAAGGCCGACCTGTACACCAGATTTAATGAATAGCAAGGAGTAGTTGAACCATGTAAACATAGTTAAACCACTGAACATAGTCAAACCACAATCAAGTCGAAAATACCTAGTTAAAAAAAGTGTATCTTCTTGTTATTCACTAAATTTGGTCTTAGGAAACTTACTTAAGTAAAACACTTAATGATCCTATTTAATAATAAATTATTTACTTTTCTTGTGTCTGAACTTATATTAAAATAAACCTTTAAACAACTAGTTCTAACTGTTTTTTCCGATAAGACCGCAATCAAAAACTTTCTAATTTTTGTCCAATAATGTCTCTTTCGTTCTGATACTATACCAATAATTCATGTTTTTCTCTTTCTAATTTTTGTCCAGTAATTTAAGTTTCTCTTTTCTAATTTTTGTCCAGTAATTTGTGTTTCTCTCTTTCTAATTTTTGTCCAATGATTTCTATTTCTCTCTAGGAATCCAGTGAGAGTATTGATAGTCCTGACAATGATTTCTGGACAAATAAAGGGTTTGAGGATATCCAGAGAGAGATGTCTATGAAATCTAAAACTGAACCAAACTCAACTGGTATTTTGAAATATTAATCTATAAATCTAACCTTATCATAACAATTGTAAATTCATATATTTATCCTAAATAGAGGTTTTCTAAAGAATGTATGAAACCATGAAATTATTAGATAGGAAGACGATATGATTTAAATAGTTTATTGAACAGGAAACACAACAATTGTGCATTCTAAACCCAGACCCATTTCACTTTATAAGTTGATTTTTAGGTAAAACAATGTACATTACAGCAACATTTAAATGCTGAAAATTACATCTTCCTATATGCACAAAAATATTGGGGTCCCACTTTAGATAAAACATTTAAAACCAAATCAAATAGGAATTTTTAAAAAAACTTGATAATCGAGAAATAATTTATTTTTGAGCTCTATGATATTTCTTTCCTACTCTCAGATCACTTCCTTCAAAAACTGGGTCAATTTTTAGAAACTGCATAACTGCATGGTTTTGTGATATTTTAATAAGAAACTGCATAACTGCATGGTTTTGTGATATTTGAATTAGAAACAAGATAGTTTACAGGACTCGAAGTCCGTCGATTCATTTATTCAGAACAAGCTAAATCATTCCAGGGAACCTGAATAAAAGAGCAACTGAACCAGTCTTAGAGCACAGGATCCAGCCAATAGGATCAGATCTATTCACTGTAGAAAACTATACACCGGAGAAGGATGAGCCTGAGGATGGATTAGAGTTTGATGAAAGATCATCCCGTCCTGATGTATTCTTCAGGGAATGAATTAAATGAACTTATTGAATTTGAAACACCGATTTAAATCCTTCCTCAATCTTTAACTTTGAATTGGTGGTTCAAATTTGAACCGATATAGTAAGTAGTTCAACGACACAGCTCAAATTCATTAATCCTACAGGAATCCTACCTATGCTGATCCTAACCCGGAGCATGAACAATACTACCATGAACCAGAGGATGTTAGACCTATTTATCAGAAACCTCACAGTTTCAAGGAGAAGATACGAGAAGCAAGGGAGAGAGAGGTAAACCAGAACTTAGATACAGTGGTTGCCAGAAAACAGAGGAACGATTGTCGGCTTCTTTCTTCCTCTCAATTCTGATTTGCCACTTAAGATTATGTAATTTGTAATTGTTATAACTATAATGTATCATTGAATAAGATCTTTCTTAAAGATGAATTAGTTTAAAATTACAGAATCTTTAACAACAATTCTTGCCTGAAGAAAAACAAAGAGCACACTGTTCCACTGTTTTACATTTAAAACTGTCAGTCAAGATAACTTGAAATGAAGATTGCATTTTTTAACATTAACAAAAAAGGTCTTCTAAGGGGGGCACTAATATTTGTATTTTTGCCCTTTTAGGAAAATGTTGCACCCGGAGGAATGTTTAGATATTCTATAGGAGACAGGCCCCAGAGTCAGACTCGGAGTCAGGCTGTACCATCGCCTCAGGTTAAAGGGAGGGATCCCCATTTTTCATTTTATTAACAAGATGGCTTCTGAAAATTTCGATAGTAGCTTGATAATCTTTCTGTTCGGAACCATTTATTTTTTTTAAGTATCCATGTACAAATCTTGATCATGATATAATATTACTAACTCCACTGAGCCGTATCTCTATAACGCCCTTAAAAATGTGACTGTGGTCGTCTTCCATTGAAAGATAAAATGCGGGAAAATCAACTACAGGCCGGGTGTCCCGGTAAACATGAAATTTAAGCGACAACTTTCAAATAGTGTTTGATATCCACAGATACAGCGATTGTAGTTATAATACAATTAAAACAGTTGACACTGAAACCTTCTTGTTTCGGTTTTTCAAAAATATAGTCAACTATTTTTAAACCTTTAAATTTGAGGAAGAAATTTAAGAAAAACTCTAGCATTCTTTTTGTTTTGTTTTCGCTTTAACAAAGCATAAATACTTATAATAATGGATAATATTTGTAAAGTTTATATGACAAAGAAACAAGTGAAGATAGTGTTGTTCATTTTTCTTATTTTTTCAGGATATTGAGACAACCTTTGATTTTCTTAGGTAAACTTTAACTTTATTAATTACATACTTTAAATTTAATAATTTAAACCTTTAAAAATCTCTTTAATATTTTGAATGAGCAAATAGTTTATTGTTGATTAGTAAGTATGACGATCAAAAGATGGGAAATCAAGACTATCCCAACTCTGCCTACTCTTCGGAGTACCCAGATACTAGGCAACCCTACTCCTCTAACCGCCCGGATACTAGACCCAGATCAACCTACTCGGAGCATTCTAACCCTAGCAAGTGAGATTCTAAAGCATTACAGGGACTGTACACGTAATTTTGGAGTGACATGTCGGATTCACAACGGTACCCTTAAAATTTTTGTTTAAATGAATGAATCCAGGATTTCTCTTCCATTTGTAGTTTTTTCTTAAAAGTGTATTGAGAATTTCTGCGGAAAAACAATGAAAGCAATTGTAAAAAAAACTCTATTCAATCTAGAAAAACAATATCTTTCACATTATTGAAAATATAAAGGTTTGAAGGGTGTCGTTATCAATCGGACATGCGCCTTATTACAGGGAGAGTCATTTGAATATACAAGGACAGTAACTTAAAAGGGATGTTCGCGAAAAATGAAAGGGGGTCTAGGCTTACGTCGAAAAATATTCGACGGTGATTCTACTAATCTTACTCTTATCTGTTGCGTATATTGTTAAAATCGACTCATACAGAGGTACGTAGCGTCCATGCAAATTCAGAAAGAATTGTAATATTCGACTCGGATCGTAAAAAAATCAATTAATTTACAAACAAATCATTCAGATATTACAACCAATAATCAACGATTTTTTTTCGACGCACTCGTAAATAGTTAATATTTCATAATATTTTTATCTTTTATGATCCGAGAGTTACTTTTGAAAACATTCATTTCTGTTTCGAGAATTTTTGATAATGAAGACGACATATCACGGGACTTCAATGTATGGCAGACGGTCCCTAATATAAAACGACGACATTTAATCTTTTTAAAATATGTTTGCTCTTCGGTCTGATAGTCTTAACACTACGTTCAACCAAAATCTTTTTTAAAAGAAAATGCCCTTTGCATGTTTCCATTTATTTCGGAAAAATCATTTTTGTTGTTGTTTGAAACAAACATTTATCCGTTAGGCGTAACTTTACTTTACGGGGCTCATGGTGATTATTCTAAAATCTCGTTGCATTTGCAACTTTATCGCCGGGACAAATAATTTCTGTTTTGTGTAGTGTAGTCCGTACCTTTAAAGACTTCTTTATCTATATTATCATGTCAAAATTATTTCTTTTTATCTTTATAATCCTTTTTCTTTTTACACTGTAAACAAGGTTTAGTTCTGGATGCGAGATTTTGCAAAACAAAAATTTAATTATCCTGAGCTATTTATCCGCTCAGACCATTCATATAAATTAACTAATTTTTAGTCATCCTGAGGAGAGAAGGCCTGTCAGAACGGGTCAAGGTTGGGGTAAAATTAACTCTGCTCCGAGAGGAGAAAAGTATAACTCCACTCCGAGATCGGATAAGTTTAATCCTACTCCAAGATCCAATAGGTTTGATCATCCTGGAAGACCGGATAGGTTTGATCATCCTGGAAGACCGGATAGGTTTGATCATCCTAAGGATAGGTTTGAGGAGAGGGAGAGATCGGATAGGTTTGATCATCCTGGAAGACCGGATAGGTCTGATCATCCTAAGGATAGGTTTGAGGAGCAGGAGAGATCGGATAAGACCTTCGTTATTCCGAGGTAAGTTGGTGTGATTATAAACAGAAAATGCAAATGATTAAATCCTCATTTCTCCTTTTTCTGTAAATAATGTTTTCCTGTGCATAAGAAAATGTATCCTACACAAACCAATCTTTACTAAACTCTATTTCCCTCTACCGCAAGCACAAAAACCTAAAGGAACTGCAGACGTAATTTTAGTAACTTCTATTTAAAGAGTGGCATTTCCGGTTACAATGCTACCCTTGAGGAAGATATCGTCATTTTTTTTGTCCTAAAACGTTTTGAATTATGACACTTTCCTTCATGGTGTCTGTAGCACCAAATATTCAATTTTCTGCGAGAAAAAAAAAGGATTTCTTATTCATCCTTTTACAAAAATAGGTTATAAAAGTATCGCTGTGAATCGGACATATCACTTTTCAGATGGTGGTCACAGTCCCTTTAAATTGTAACTTCCCTCACACTTCAAACTTCTCTTTCCATCGATTTATCTTAATCCGAATATCAAACCACAACCAAACCTTACTAAGATTTGTTTTCTAGAGCTAAAGTATCAGCCAACCTCTCCCGGTCCTCATCTTTACTCCGAGCAGGAGAAAACAAACCCCAGCTGAGAGGTAGGTAAAGTAAAGCCACATGCAACAGCCGAAACAAAACTATAAGGTTAACCCTATTCCTGCTGCGGGGGGGGGGTCAATTTGACCCCCCCCCTGTAGTTTTTTTTTACATAACTCAAAACGTATTGGTCTGAGGCTGTTGAAATTTTCTGACTTTTCTTACATACCCAAAGCTCTCCCTTTGAGCCTAAAATCGGGCTTTAATACTAACTGCCTGAGTCCTCAGGCACACTGCCTGAATGACTGCATTTGCCTGTAACAAACTAAATCTTTGTTTTGACCCACTTTCACTTGTCAGATTTTGATAAAATTTAGCTTTTTGGAAAGCCTATGACATAAGGAAGTTTTGCGAAAAAAAAATTGCAAGTTTTTTGCAAACAACCTGTCAAAGGCAATTTGCACATTTTTAGTTTTTCTTGATTAAAAATCAGGTTATTTAAAATTTTGCAAAAATTTTTGCATATTTGAAATGGCATGGTAAAGGGCTTTTCAAAAATGTATAATTTTTAATTTTTTGGACAAATTTTTTTTGCAAACATTTTTACTATAAAACTGGATTTTGCGATAAAAAATTCAATTTTCGCAAATTTGCAAATTTTTTTGCAGATTCCTTAAGTAGAGCACAAGAGCTTTCTAATGATGTATCATTTGTCATATTTGGACATGGGATTTAGAGGGGGGGTCAAATTGACCCCCCCCTTGCGTATCCTGGTTTTCAAGTACCCCAGCAGGGATAGGGTTAAACAAAAATATTCTTCATAGATTTGTTTCACAGTGACTTATGTGAACAAAAAGCTTATCTTCTCAATAAATTTATTGTTTATATTGCAAATTATTTATCTTGAATATTTTATAGATTATGAAACCCGGTACTATGTTCCTCTGAAGCACTGAGAGAATAAAAAAATGTCAAAATAGTTTTATATTTTTGTGTTTAACCTTGATTAGAACAATAAATAATTTAATCCTTTAACTAGCTGATACATACAGTGTATAGTTGTCAGTCCTTCTGTTTGAATATTTTGATGAGAGTTTTGAGAACATCGCGTCCTGCGCTCTTCAGTCATGGTTGGGTTGGAGTTCCTGCTCCGGGTCTAATTCTAGCACTTGATAACGGAGGAAAGTATGCTACTCCGTCCTCAGATGGACAAACTCCACCATTGTAAACAATCTAAACTACAAAGATTAAACGATTGAAATATTTAAAAGTTTATGAAAATGTTATCATAGGACAAAAATTCGCTAAATTGCCCTCTTATTATTATTATTATTATTATTATTAAAGCTTAAAAATCAATTTACAAAGTTGAAATTGATCTGTGTACACTGCACAATTTTATGCTTCATGTTGATTGATCTATTTCAATATTTTCAGTCTAAAAGTTGTGTTCTTATTTCTATATGATCCTCCATGCTTCTTTCTCATTTATTTTAACTATTGGGTTTTTATTTAAAAACTGGATTATTTTCAATTTTATTTTTGAAATAAAACCCTTGAGGTTCCCTACCTTTTGTAGCGTGTTCCTGTGTTTGATCTCGTTATTGGTTGATGTAGGACGGAATCCATCATCTATCCTCACTAATTCATCCCTGCACTCACTGAAGGGTTTGCACCCGGATCTGTCAACTAGTACTCCCTGCTCCATCTTATCTAAGAATAAATCATATTACTAATCAGTTCTTGTATCTTATCTAAATATAAATTATCTAAGAGTTTAAATTTGTCTAATTCTAAAAAAGTTGGAAGAATTTCCAAGGACCTATTCTAACTATGAGAACAGACTGGTCCCAATCTTCAACCCTATCTATCATAAAATAGTTTTAACCCTACCTGAGTATCCTACCCTCCCTATGAGCATAGATCCAACCCTACATGAGTATCTTACCCTCTCTATTAGCATAGATCCAACCCTACCTGAGTATCCTACCCTCCCTATGAGCATAGATCCAACCCTACATGAGTATCCTACCCTCCCTATGAGCATGGTTCCAACCCTACCTGAGTATCCTACCCTCCCTATGAGCATGAAAAGACTGCGTGCCATCATCCAAGTATAGATATAGAAGAATCCAACAATAAACCGAATGAGAATATTGATATAGAACTTAATGTGAGAATCCCTGAACATAGAAAATAATTGAGAAAAGAAATGATTACTAGGTTCAAACTCTAATCATCTACTTCCTATATCGTTGAAACAGTTCATAACTATGAGATCTATATATAAGGTTATAATGCAAGGAAAGTTATTTCACAGGTGTACGCATCTTTGTACTTTAGTGTACTGTCTCTGGGCGGTCATGTAAACACAATAAGGATGTCGAAGCCTGACATCCGATCCATCTTTTAAATAAAAAATCAATAAAATATTCTGGTCCTAGGAAACTATTATGGGAATTATCTAAATCATCAAAATATAATGCTTTAAAACCTCCTTGTTGACACTGTTCCATCTATTCTTGTTTACAAATTCCGCCCAGAGAGAACTGGTTTCAATATGTACGCAGAGTATACGCAACTGAAATAAATTTTCCTTGCATTTTAATCTTGATGAATGAATTGGAGCTTTTATCTTTTTATCTGTGCGGAGGGAAATGGAAGAAACGAAATGCAGGAAAGGTTTAACAAAAATATATACAAAATTACACGATTTCAAAGCATATATTTTTCAACAATTAATTTCTCCTATTAAAGGGAGTGACCGGCTATGCAAGGTAATTGAACTGAGTATGCAGTGTTGTCGAAAACTTCTTTAGGATTCATTTGAGACATATTTCACTTTTTAAAGATCTGTAAATCCTGAGTTTAAGCGCAAATTCGACGTTCAAAACTCCTGATTTGGGGGTGGATACGCTTTCAGAATTAGTTTTTAAATTATCAAATAAAGACAAGGAAAAATAAAGTAAAAATTATACAGTAATCTAATTACATGGCTAGGAACATATTTCACAAAAGCAATTTGTCGATTATTTCGTTTTCATTATTATATTGAATTTCTAATTTTCTTTGAATTTATTCGCAGATTTCTTCAAATTCTTTAAATGTCGTCTTTTCAATAATAATTATAAAAAATCTGCGAACATCTTTGTGAATAACGAGAAACTAGAATAATGAGATAATAGAAACTGATAATTGAACAAGATTACTTATTTTCGATGATAAGATTAATTTTTATTTTCTCAAAATGTTCCTAAACTTTGTGAATAACGAGAAACTAGAATAATGAGATAATAGAAACTAATAATTGAACAAGATTACTTATTTTCGATGATAAGATTAATTTTCATTTTCTCAAAATATTCCTAAAAATGACATCTGTAGTTTATTGTAGAATATTTTTACATTTTATGTCGACGTTAATTAATAATTTAAAAAAACTAATTCTGAAAGCGTATCCACCCCCAAATCAGGAGTTTTGAACGTCGATTTTGCGCTCAAACTCAGGATTTACAGACTTTTAAAAAGTGAAATATGTTTCAAATGAATCCTAAAGAAGCTTTCCACAACACTGCGTCCTCAGTTTAACTACCTTACATAGCCGGTCACTCCCTTTAATTGCAAAAAAAGATTCAAGATTGGAATAAACACCAAAATGTTTAAAGCAGGAGAACAGGAACAATATTGAATTCCAAGATAAAGTTACCAAAATGTTTAAAGCAGGAGGACAGGAACAATATCAAATTCCAAGATAAAGATACCTCTCAAAGTCAAGATTGACAAGGTTGAAGAGAAAGCTGTCACTGTTCCCTGTAACTTGTTGAACTACTAGTAGAGCAATCAGGACAAGGGGAGGAACTACAACACTGATCAGGATCTCAAGGAAGAATATCACCAACCAGATCAGTATCAATAGTTTCACCTAAAATAAACTAAATTAATGTGACTGACGACAAAATTTCAAAGAGCGGCATTTACAACGGCACCCTAATCCTTCACATCGACAAAAATGTTTTATATTTGAGAACTAGCTGAAGAGTCTTTGCCCGTGCAGAAAAAAAAATTCAATTTATTTAGCCTATAACACCCATGAGTGTCCACAAAAAAATTCAGCCCAATCGGTCCAGCCGTTTGGCCGCGGTTTTACGCAACATATATATGAATGTCTTGTTTTATTATATAGATTGATCATTTTCAATTAACTTGCGGATTTTTGCAACAGAAACAAAGAACGAAATTGTCAGAATTGTTCCCCAAATAATGGTATCATTGTGAATCGGACATGCAACGATTTTGAAAGGGAGGTTAACTTACATAGACGTACAGTCCCTTTAAGATGTTTTCTCAAATTATAAAATGATGAGTTTACTACCCCAAGTTTAGCTCCGACTGCCAACCCTATATCTGCTATGATAAGAGCTCCACTGAGACTAGCGAACCCGGAGAAGGTTGATGAAATATTGAACCCGATGACGAGGATATTGAAGAGAATGTCGACCAGTGCTAGGATGAAGAGACCCTGCTCCAGGGACTGCCAACCACAGCAGCAGGACGTGAGAAAACAACACATCTTCTCCCTAAACTCTAAATATATATAGGAGATAAATATCTATCAAACTAATATTCTGTTTCAGTTTAGTGCAATAGAGTTCTAATTGTTTGTCAGATATCCTTAATTGGGTGTTGAATAGTTCAATATATGAACAAATCATTCAAATTGAATTGCCACAAACTACAATGTCTAATCTCTGTGTGTCTTTCTGGGAATTTAGAAAGGGGGGGGGGGGCACAAAAGTATGGAACCCGGCGCAGGCGAAAATTTTTTTTACCTGAAAAACTTAAAAAGGGTCAAAATTAATAAATGAAGACTAAAAACCAGATTATTAACTTATCACACATCATAGTTTATTAAGATAGATATTTTGCCTGTTTTCTTTCCCTTAAGTGCTATTGAGAAGCTATTTGCATCAAACAAAAACAAACTGGAGGTATTTAAGATGAAGGGATTTGAGTTAAACTATAAATAATTCTTCTAATGAACATTATTGAAACACGAGTAGCCATGCAATACTTATTTCTATGCCCCTATAATTATAGTCTTACGGCGAAAAATTATCGATGGTAATTGCTGCTAATCTCACTTCTATCTGTTGCGTCTATAAGGAGAAAATTGTTAAAAACGACTCATACAGAATCCATAAAAATTCAGAAAGTTGCAACATTCGACTTGGATTGTAAAAAATCAATTTAATTCCAAGGAAACATTGAGATATTACAAATTTTTTGACGCATTCGTTTATAGTTGATATTTCATAATATTTTGTATTTGTTTTATATATACAATGCACACTTAAAACGCCGATTAGTTGGCCGCCAGGTGTCTCTGCTCTCGATGCTCTGGATGATTCCACATGGGAGAGACACCTAGCGGAAAAAAATCGTCCTTTTAAGGCAGACGCTGAACTGTGCGAAGTGGGGAAGACTTCACTGCAGATTTTACTTTTGTACATAACCACTTTTTCAACAATTTATTTAAATAAAATTAGTATTTATTTAGGGTTAGGTTAGGTTAAGACACTTTCTGGGCCGAGCGCTGCGGCTAGGATAGGCTAGGGGGCCGAGCACTGCGGCCACGGGTTAGGTTAAGTTATGACACTTTCTGGACTGAGCGCTGCAGCTAGGATTCAATCTCGATCTACAAATGTCATCCCCCCTTAATCATGCTTTTAATTAAGCGCGGCAGTGAAGTCTTCCCCACCTCGCACACTCGAAGGTTGGAGTTCAGCGTCTGCCTCGTTTTAAGTGCATGAATAGCGCAGAGCAACAATAAGATATGAATTTGTATAAAGATAAAAATCATTCAGAACCCAAATGTAAATATTTATCAAAAGCAACAATTTAATTTTTAAGTGATATAAAACATTAAGATATCGTTTCACCTAAAATATTTAAAGCACCAATATGATAATCTATTCAGCTCATTGTTGGACTAGGAGCTAAACCAGGATTAGAAAGTCGGATAGGAGTTTGTATATCTTGTAACCCTGGTTAAACGCTACTCGGGTACTCAACCCAGATTTATTATTTATATAATTTCTAGTTCCTGCCTAAACTGGAAACAGGAAATTGTTATTCATATTTATTTTAAACACAATTCAAATATAGAAAATAATAAAAATTGTGATAGTTTTACAACAAAATGAACAAATTAGAATGTGAACAACCAATACGTTAAAAAATTAAATGTTTAAAGATGTTATCGTTTCATTTTTTTGTTCCGTAATACTTACTACTTAATTATTTAGCTTTTACAGTTTTGAAGAGAAGTTACTGAGAATACTGATAACAATGTATTTCAACAAATAGAATTTTAAAACATTTTTACAAAAATATTTTGCCTTTATTTTGATTTATAATCGACACATTCTGGACAGTCACAGTGTTCTCCGTCACCTCCGCAGAATCCCCATTTACTACAACAATAATTCTCACTTTCAGGATTACATTCTCCGGGTCCGGATCCATCAGGGAGCGGATAATCAGCTCCGCATCTCCGATCCTTTCTCCAGGTCCCCTCCCAGTCCTTTTTCTTATCCTCCTCCGTCCTATAGTCCTTACAAGTAGGACAGGAGCAGTGTTCGTCCCCTGGTCCACAATAGCCCCACTTACTGCAGCAGGGGTTCTCGCTGGATCCGTCACATTCACTCTCCGAACCATCCGGGAGAAGGAAACTTGAACCACATCTTCGATCCGCTCGAACCTTTCCATCAAACAGTGGAACCTCTACAGGCACACCTCCCCTGGATAAATAGAAAAATGAAAGACAAAGAAATTGAGTTTATAAGGCAAACTCTGATTTTCTAATCCATATCTTTGCAATCCAATGTCGTAGACCTGGGATATTTAAAACTATAAATTCTGATAGATCAAATAATCTAAATTAAATATGAAAGGTTTAAACCGTCAAATGGCAAAGATATAGGGATTATAAAATTAGAGTTGCTGGCAAAGACTCAATTCGTTTAACTGGGGTTTTCATGTAAATTGAAAGAGGTAATTGGATGAATCATAATCAAATTGTTGAGCTGAAAGTGCAGTATTTTAGAGAAAAACTTTAGGATTCATTTCATACCAATCAGACAATTTTACGATGTTCAATTGTTGAATAAAAGCGTAAAGTCGTTTGTAATATTTCACCAGCTGTTTCAGCAGAAGAAACGTTTTTTTACAATTCTTAAATAACATGGACAAAACATGTGTAACAAATACTTTTCACTAGTTGTATTTGATACAAACAGGTTGAGAAAAATAATATATCATTAAAAATAAGTCATTAAAATCAATTTTAAAATCTCGCAGGTTTATGAAAATTTTCTTAGCAAGGGCTGCTAGTTGGAGGTTTCTTTTATTTTAACTGTGAAGACGACATTTAGAAGAAATATGCGAAAAAATATAGAAACAGCAAAGGTAATGATGATAATGAAATAATCGGTTCTGCGATTCCACCATAACTTTGTTCGCAAATTTCAGTCCAAGTAGCCTGTGGCGATCATATAGTTTTGATAAGCCAAACTGACGACATTTTTTGGCTTATACATTAAACATTATTGGTTCATGTAAAAAAAATTTATTTTCAGCTAGATACATAAAGGTTTCATTTGAGCTGGTCTAATACATCTCAACATCTTTATAAATTATCTTATTTTCAAGTTTATTTTTAGAAAAATTCAATTTTTCGCTTAAAGACCTTTTATTGTTTGTTGCCATCTAAAACTGCTTTTTTCTCAACAGTCTCAAAATAAAAATTGTTCTATGTCAAATTTAGAGCCTTCTACGTGGCCTGCACTACAAAACTAAGTTCTTTCTTAGTTTTCCTCAGATCTCTCAATAATTTGATGATTTTTGGTATAGTGGGGGACCATATTGAAGGCTCTAAATTTGACATAGAACAATTTTATTTTCTGCCTGTTGACTAAAACCCCATTATTGAATGGCAACAAACAATTAAAGATTTTTAAGGCGAAAAAAACGGATTTTTTTCAGAAAAATTTAATGAATTTGAGCCGTGTCTCAAATCCGCCAAAAACCGATTTCAATTGAGCGCCGGCTTAAATCTTGAAACATTGAATACAATTTTAAGTGTAACCAACCATATTTGAGCCGCACCTTAAATTTAAGCTGCGGCTCAAATTCTTTAAATTCGGCCTCCGCCAATGTGATTAACCCTTTACCTGTAGTCTACACAGCCGGCACAATCACAGTGTTCAGGACCAGGACCACAGTATCCGTGTATACTACAACAATGGTTCTGGGTTGATCCGTCGCATTCTCCGGGTTCTCCGTCCTGCAGTGGATACTTAGCTCCACATCTTCTGTCCGACCTAACCTTCCCGACTACATGTACAGGTCTGTAGTTCACACAGGTTTCACAGTTGCAATGTTCCTAAACATTAAAAGGAGTGACCGGCTATTTAAGGTAGTTGAACTGAGTATGTAGTGTTGTGAAAAACTTCTTTCGGATTCATTTGAGACATATAACACTTTTTAAAGATATTTAAATCCTGAGTTTGAGGGCAAATTCGACGTTCAAAACTCCTTCTTTGGGTGTGGATACGTTTTCAGAATTAGTTTTTTGAAATTATTAAATAACGACAACATAAAATGTAAAAAAAGTTCTACAAAAACTTACAGACGTCATGTTAAGGAACATGTTGAGAAAATAAAAATTAATCTTATCATCGAAAATAAGTAATCTTGTTCCATTTAATTAAAAAAGAAGGATACCTCATTCATCTTTAACCAGAGAAAGGTTTAATTGGTACCGTTGTGAATCGGAAATACACTCTATATATGGGTAGGACGCCTGACATTATACATCTAAAATCACTTAAAGTATGTACCTCGGTTCCTCCGCAGAACCCGTGTTCAGAGCAGCACCAGTACTCGGAGTTAGGATCACATTCTGCCAGGGTTCCGTCCTCTAGGGGATAACTTACTCCACACTTTCCGTCCGACCTGTACAAACCGTTGCTTGTGAAGACCTGAGCTGGAGCACTCTCACCTCCTCCTCCACCAGGAGATTGGGTCTCAGCAGGGCGTCCAACATCCGGGACAGGGGGTGCTTAAAAAATATTTTAGAAAAATGTTAAATCTTTAAATTCTACCCAGTACCCCCCCCCCTTTACTTTTAAATTCTAATTTGATCTATGATTTGACATTCTAGGCTTAGTTAGATCAATTTCTGAGTCGAGTGTTAAACTAAAAATCTGCTCTGAGATTAATACCTTAGATGTGTAGGTCAATGAGTCTATAATCTCTGTCTCAAGAAATTGATATAACACTGTGTCAAAGTTATACAAAAACTAATATATATCATTATTGCAAACAGAGCCACATGACCAGATACTGAATGGTCATTGGTGGAAATTCTGGTCACATGATACAGACGGAGCCATGAAACCAGATACTGCACTGCTATTGGTGGACATTCTGGTCACTCGATACAGACGTAACAATTATATTATCAACCATATTTTATTAAAATTTAAATAAGAGCGTCCCTAAATTTTTTAGGCACTTCTGGGTTATCTTAATTTTCAAATTTGTTCTGTATTTGCAGAACATGATCTATTTAAACTTTTTATTCATATACCATATCACATGTATATATTTTGGTATAACGTTGACACCATTTTATAACAACTCCTTTAAACGTTTGCAATCTACATTCTTCACATGATTATTGGTGCCTTATGATTAAATCATTTTTAAATCTCCAGAGCTGGGAACTTTTGCTTAAGATGGCGCAAATCTACATCGCATGAGTTCAAAACTTGAAAAATTATAATTTTAAACGGATAAGTGTGATAGCAGCAGTTTAATATTTATGGGACCTCTCATCGAGATATCCAGAAGGGATTAAAATAAAGGGTTATCCACAAAGGACGAAACTAAAGACGGTTTCTACTCGGTCTTTTTTCTTTCAAAGATGTAAACTTGTTTATCTCTTTTCAATAAACTAGATTAAAGGAAAACGACTAAATATGACTAATTAAGACCTTTACAATCTACTAGTTTCAGGTCGTCATTATAGTCTCATCCTTTTTGGGTAAAAGTCTGTAAAAGTTGGACTTCAAAAGATAGTGTTTGTTAAAGGGATAACAAATTCAAACATTTCGACGTAAGACTTTTTCATTCAAAAGTTTCGATCTCAGACATTTTCATTCAAAAGTTTCGATCTAGGACTTTTTGATTCAAAATTTTCGACCTCAGACGTTTTTCTCACCATCATCGCAGCTCCAGCCGCAGTGACCGTTCTTCTGACAGCAGGTTGGGAAGGGAGGAATATGTTCACAGGTTGCAGGGTTTCCATCCGGAGCTAGGTTATCTTCTCCGCACAATCCATCCGTCCTACATAGGTAGAGATAAAATAAACCTCACAGGGTTTCTATCCGGAGCTAGATTTTCTCCTCCGCACAATCCATCCGTCCTATATAATTACGAGATAAAATAAACCTCACATGCAGGGTTCTCATCCGGAGCTAAATTATCTCCTCCGCACAATCCATCCGTCCTACATAATTAGAGATAAGATCAACCTCACAGGTTGCAAGGTTTATATTCGGAGCTAGGTTATCTTCTCCGCACAATCCATCCGTCCTACATAGTTAGAGATAAGATAAACCAACGGAATACTTTTTGCAAAAAAATCCTTGATGGTTTGATAACTTATCAGCTATATATTTTAATACATTTTTTACAATGTTAAAAAATATTCCCCAAAGATGGGTGATGACTGAACGGAACTGATTACTCGCTTCAAACTCTTTATTTTTCTAGTTTCTATATCTTTGCATTTTCAGGGTGTAAACCTTGGATTTTCAAACCTTGGCAATTTAATCTCACAGATTTTATCTTTTGATATGTCCAGCATAATGATTGTAAGGATGTAGGGATTAGAAAGTTAGAGTTTGAGGAGAGTAATCAGTCTTTTTGCGCTTTATTGCAATGATTTCTCCTCCAACTCGTGTTTTGACCCATTTTTACTTTTCATTTTCACTTTCTACCTCATAGGAATAAAATAAAAAAACTAGAGCAATGTTGAACCTGAACCGTTGTCCCAGGACCAGGACTGGTATTAGCAGGATGAGAAGAGGAAACATGACTGATACAAAACCTCACCAGATATCCATCCAACCCAGAGATAATTTTATTTATCAGTTTTGGAACATACTTCATTCTTTACCCTTTTATCAGAGTTGGGTCTGTTCAAGAGAACAGGTATTTGTGTTGAACATCTCCGGGTTGTATTTACCCCTAGACGTATCTGATCTATCCTTGATAACTGGACCTGACCCTATACAATATACAACCTGAGTAGAAGGAAGGTTTCTACTCCAAGAACCAGTCTAAACATGATCTTTATTATATTTATGCAAATTAGTTTCAGGCCAAAGGAAACCAGGAACAAAACAAAGGAATCCAACTAAAATGGTTGCTGAATTGTGACCTATTCTAGTAGGAAGAGTTATAAGAGGCAAAAAACAGTCGTCTTCCTAATCCACAGTTTTCTGGGTCTCGCTTCAATTATAAGTTAGTAAATACAACTATTCAGTCTTTTTTATAAAAGTAGAAAGAATTCTCATTCATACTTTTTCTTATTGGTCGTCTTCCTTACTGTTTCTTTTTTTTCAAATAGTATAAAAATGTTATATTGATATTGATATTGATATCACAGTAAATTCAATAAAATTTATATTTTTGCTACTGAGAAATCAATATAAATGTTTAGAAAGATTTCAAAAAGTTTCCAACTTTTCCATTACCAAGTTTAAATTCTGGTTAAAGGGAAAAGGGGTCCTCCATTAGATTAGATTAGAGAAGGATATTGTAAGATTAGAGAAGGATATTGTAAGATTAGAGAAGGATATTGTAAGAGAGAAGGATATTGTAAGATTAGAGGAGGATATTGTAAGTTTAGAAAAGAAAATGGTAAGATTAGAGAAGGATATTGTAAGTTTAGAGAAGGATATTGTAAGATTAGAGGAGGATATTGTAAGATTAGAGAAGGATATTGTAAGATTAAAGAAGGATATTGTAAGATTAAAGAAGGATATTGTAAGATTAGAGAAGGATATTGTAAGACAATGATAGTTAGGAAGAGTTCAAATCTCACAATTTTCTCGACAATTTTAGTTTTGGACATGCATATTTCCTAAAAGTGGATTCTTCAGGCATTGAATACTTTCTTGCATTATTTTATATGAGATTAAAAAGGTTTAAGAAATTTGATTAAAAAATTTAAGAATATAATTCATACCTAATTAGTCAAAGCTTTTAAGGTTCACTTGAAATATTTAATAGGATTAAAATATTGCCAAATTTCACACTCTCTAATTTCTATTTTATTAATTTTGGTCCCTTAATTTAAACTTTTTGTAACTGGAAGTAACCAGTTGAGTGTAGTATAATCGTTATCATTCTTGTATGTTAATATTTTTTCATGTATGGAATAAATCTTCAGCTGTTTAATTCTAAGCTTAGAATATCAATTTTTGACAATTTGCCTAAAAAGTTACATTTTGCGTAAAACTTGCGGTTTTGCGCAAATCAAAACTAAAATTTCGTTTCATGCGCAACTTTCGCAAAAAATATTTCCGGTTTTGCGCAAATTGCGTAAAAAAATAGCGCAAAACTCATTGCGTTTCATGCGCAAAAATAGCGCAAAAGTTCGCAAAAAAAAAAATTGCGCAAAAGATTTAGCCTTTTCGTGGAAACCCTACTATCAAGGCAATTCGCGCCCATCTTTTATTTCAAATTTTGATTAATGCTCAATCAGCATTTTTTCTTTGATAAAACAATGAAAAAAACATCTAGAGAATTTACAAATTTTTTTACTTTGGATTTTTAAAATTTTACGAAAATCAAAATTGTTTGGAGACAAATTTTAAAAACTGTGAGCAATTACGAACCTTCCCTGGGTTCATGACTAAACAAGACTAAAAATAAAATAAATCAATCAATATTGGTTCTACGTAAAGTAGGCATAAACCTAGAAACGTAAGACTACATTTATTTTTCTCTGACAGATAACTAAAGATAATTTCTAAATTATTCTTTTCTTACAAATGTTGATCTTCCATAAAGTTTTAAAATGTTATCAATGTTAGAATTCAAAACAAACATTTGTTATTACCTGACCATCCCCATTAGTGTCAGCCTGTAATAAATGTTTTATATGCAGGGTTACCCACTAAGGATGAGACTTTTATGACGACATTAAACTCTTTGAATAAGGTTGAATTTGAGCCTGAGTCTTAAATATTATGTGCTACGGTAATAGGCGATTATATTAGTATAATGAAAGACGACTTTTTATTAAAGCTTTAATTTTTAGCAAGCTTTTTTCCGATAACAAGTTTACAAGTGAATAAATAAAAGCTTTTTTAATTAACAGCTTCTCTTTGTTTCCATGTTTTTGTGTATCCATGCTGTTTAAAAGTTTAATACGAATCAAATTTAAATCGAAAGTCGTCTTCATTATATTGGTATTATCGCCTACCACCTTATGTACTACGTGCTACCTATGTACGGTGACATAATCGAATTTATTGTGTTTGAAATTTCGGGAAAGGGTTTTATAATTTGTAACAGATATGTTTTATTATTAGCAATTAATTCTTTAATACAAAATTATTTAAAAAACGTACAGTGGTATCCACAAAACTGATAAAACTATTTGCTCTTTGAGAGCATCAAATACTCATAAGATTTTATTGCTTAAATGTAATTTTCCTTATTCCACAGTTTTATGGGTTTGTGAATCATTTATAAAGAATAAAAATTAGATAATCCTTACCCAGCCAGACCAAGGGGACCTTCAATGGGAACTTAGGCGGCCCTTGACTTAACTAAGTCCTCCTTTTTTTCAATATTTGCAAAAAAATATCAAATTCTTGTATCATGAGAAAAAAACATTAAAATTTAGATGGCATCCTGCTTCCCGTTCCTTTTGCAGCCTATTTTTTTATTAATATGATTTGAGAAATAAACTTCTTAATAAAATTTTTGTGATTAAATATGTTTTTTTTGGAAATAATTTTTTTCTGACTGGGTCTTCACAAGTCAGTGTCCCCCCCCCCCAAAAAAAATCTTTTTGTGGGGGAAGGTGTGTGTCCCCCTCTCCCAATCCCCAAAAATATTTTTTTGGGGGGGGGGGGGGGGGGTGGACCCTGTGTAGGCCCCGACTTCAGACCGACTTGTGAAGACCCAGTCAGGAGGCCCTCCTGAAGCGTTTCTAGGGCGCAGAGAGGGCATCCCTATAAAGCCTGGGGGCCCGGGGCCTGGGGGAGGGGGGTGGGGTGGGAAACAACTTTAAAAACAGCTGCCGGCATCTATTGATGCGGAGAGATAGATAGACAGAGAGTTTGCAACATATGGACTACTGGACAGATGAGAACCCATTAGAAATGTAATGTGGCCGATATATTTTTTGGGGGGCAAGACCTTGTGTTCCCCCCTCCCAATCCCACAAAATATTTTTTTGGGGGAGGGGGTGGACCCTGTGTATAGGCCCTGACTTGACACAGACTTGTGAAGACCCAGTCAGGACGCCCTCCTGAAGCATTTTTAGGGCGCAGAGAGGGCATCCCTATAAAGCCAGTTTAAGGCCTGGGGGGCGGAGGGTGGGGTTGGAAACAACTTTAAAAACAGCTGCCGGCAGCTGATGATGCGGAGAGATAGATAGACAGAGAGATAGCAACATATGGACTCCTGGACAGATTAAAACCCATTAGAAATATAATATGGCCGATATATTTTTGGGGGGCAAGACCTTGTGTTCCCCCCTCCCAATCCCACAAAATATTTTTTGGGGGGGAGGGGGTGGATCCTGTGATGGGCCCGATTTGACACCGACTTGTGAAGACCCAGTCAGGATACCAGAGAGATAGCAACATATGGACCTCGAGGACAGATGAGAACCCATTAGAAATATGATACGACCAATATTAAGCAAGGACTTCACTTCCGCCTTACTGGTCTATTTACGGCTTCCTAAATAGCTATGTTGCCCCGCCTTCAGAGGCGCAGTAACCCCCCAAAGTCAAATCAAGACCTCCTATCCCCACCTTGGGGTCTGGCTGGGTAGCGACCTATCATTATTACATATTAAGAAAAATAAAAAATAAAACGACAATCATACCATAATGTTTGTTACCTCTATAATCATCTCTATGATTTCCTCGTCAGAGAAGTTTACTCCGAGTTGACTCATCACGTACTTTAGTTCACTACTGGAGACAAACCCACTCATATCCTTGTCAAATACTGCAGTACAATAAATACAGTAGTTTTTCTTAGTATCACTGAGTACAATCCACATATTAATTACATAATCAAGAAACAATGTATTACAGTTTGTAAAGTAAGAAATTACTCTTCTCAAACTCAAATTTTCTAATCTTTTCTCCTTACACTTTCACAGCCTAATGTTTTGATATTTCAAAGTATCAAATAGTCAAATTTTGAAATATCTAAGGTTTGCAAAGATATAAGGATTTCAAAATAAGAGCTAGAGGAAAATGTTTAAAATAAATTTTTCATGAATATTAAATATTAAAATGCTCTAGGTAGGACGTACACAGGACGCAGATATTCAAATTTAGGACGCATATTAAGGACTCACATGAAGGACGGACGTTGATGACGCACTGGTGAGATCCCACGATTGAGAACGCACATTGAGGCCCACAAAATTGTGACATAATAACATATATACAGTAGTAGGCGATTAAAATATGAACATAAATTCAGTTTCGTTTTTAATTTATATCAAGCTGCTAAACAGCATGGATACACATAAACTTGGAAGTCAAGAGAAGCTGTCAATTAAAAAATCTTCTCTTTTGTTACTTGTAAAATTGTAATTTAGAAAAAAAAATATCAAAACTTAAAAAAACATCGTCTTCATTGTATTGATATAATTGCCTACCCCTGTACTAAGAGTTTAATCATAATTGAGTTAATAAATGAAAAGAATGTTGACCTGTAAATATACTTCTCAGATCATCAGTAGAAGGAGTTTCTTGCAATATTTTACCCATTAATAGAAGAAACTCCAGGAACTCTATACTACCACTTCCATCCATATCTACTCTTTCAACCATCTCTTTCACTTCCTCCTATACAGGAACTATATATACTTCCACTTCCATCCATATCCACTCTTTCAACCATCTCTTTCACTTCCTCCTATACAGGAACTATATACTTCCACTTCCATCCATATCCACTCTTTCAACCATCTCCTTCACTTCCTCCTATACAGATACTATATATACTCCCACTTCCATCCATATCCGCTCTTTCAACCATCTCTTTCACTTCCTCCTATACAGATACTATATATACTCCCACTTCCATCCATATCTACTCTTTCAACCATCTCCTTCACTTACTCCTATTCAGGAACTATATATACTCCCACTTCCATCCATATCCACTCTTTCAACCATCTCCTTCACTTCCTCCTATACAGATACTATATATACTCCAACTTCCATCCATATCTACTCTTTGAACCATCTCCTTCACTTACTCCTATATAAACAGGAACTATATATACTCCCACTTCCATCCATATCCACTCTTTCAACCATCTCCTTCACTTCCTCCTATACAGGAACTATATACTCCCACTTCCATCCATATCTACTCTTTGAACCATCTCCTTCACTTACTCCAATGTAAACAGGAACTATATATACTCCCAATTCCATCCATATCCACACTTTCAACCATCTCCTCCACTTCCTCCTATACAGGAACTATATACTTCCACTTCCATCCAAATCTAATCTTTCAACAATCTCCTTCACTTCCTCCTATACAGGAACTCGATACTTCCACTTTCATCCATATCCACTCTTTCAACCATCTCCTTCACTTCCTCCTATACAGGAACTATATACTCCCACTTCCATACATATCTACTCTCACTACCATCTCCTTCACTTCCTACTATATAAATAGGAACTATTCTTCCACTTCCATCCATATCTACTCTTTTAGCCATCTCCTTTACTTTCTCCTATATATACAGGAACTATATATACTTCCACTTCCATACATATCTACTCTTTCAACCATCTCCTTCACTTCCTCCTATATAAACAGGAAATATACTTCCACTTCCATCCATATCTACTCTTTTAACCATCTCCTTTACTTCCTCCTATATATACAGGAACTATATATACTCCCACTTCCATCCATATCCACTCTTTCAACCATCTCCTTCACTTCCTCATATGTATACAGTTGTATGGATGTCGTCTTCATACTTTCTTTAAATTAAGAAATATTGGTAAAAATCTTGTACTTTGTAATGCTATAATTAATAGTACATGTCTAAAATCTTTTAAGGCACATTCTTAGAGATAAATAAAATTAACAAAATCCTTAAACGACAAATTGAAAGAGAAAAAAATAAAGACGACATTAATAATTTACCTATTTTCTGGTTTACCAGTTATATTTAATGTATATATGTTTTATACAGGGTGTTCCAATAAACATGGGAATTCAGTGACGAATTGGATATCGTCTTTGTTATGAATTAGCAATGTAATACCTAATTTCAAAAGCCATAATATTATTATGTCTGCTAGAGTTTATTTTATGAGAACCATTAACACGAAACCTTAAAAAAATCCATA